CTCTGACAGCAGCCAGTTTGCCCTCCACGGGTGGCTGATTTACAGTCACACCCTGAACACTCTCACACTTCATTTCTGGTACACTGAGAGTGTCAATGACGATCAGCTTCAAGAAACCCAGCGCATTGTCTTCAGCATGTAGGATTTAGCACGACTATCAGCCAGACGACTCCAACGTCAACGTGACACGCGTGTGTGTGTGTGTGTTTATATAGGATGCGGAGCAGACTTCAGCATGTGTTTACGGGATGTAAAACAGACCGGTGCGTGTGCGTATTTGAGGGATGTGGTTCAGACTACAGCTAAAATAACTAGCAGCGCAATTATTTATTTGAGGCCCCCCCCCACCCTATCGTAGTCTGGGTCAGTAAAGAAAAAAACAAACACTTTGGAGCACTTCGGCTGCCGGATCAAACACTGTCGGCTGTCGACTGTCGGGAACAGGAAAAGACCAATTGGGTGACACACAAGGCCGGAGGAGGAGGAGTGAAAGGTGTGAACGAGTGGACGACTTGAATCGAGGTCTTGACAAAGTGTGCCAGCAATCAACCGGCCGCAGACCAGCTGTGATACCCCAAGGAGTGTGGAAGCAAAAAGCTAAAATCAATTGTGCAGCAAAAGTCAATCCACGCGATCCGACTCTTCGTTACAATAATCTACCCGTTGGGGCATGTAATCGCCATCAACCCTGGCTGACTCGGTTGGCGAAGGGGAAGTTGTGGGAAGACGTGCATGTCACACGTGAAGTGCATGTTGTGTCTCTCACCGCTTGGATGATGAGCTGTTATTTCATCTGCATGTGTCAAACAGAGAGGGCTGTCACGGGAAAGACGATCATGAGAAGATTGTGAAAGAGGAAGCTTTGAGGCACGAGGGGGGAGACAAAGTCACGATGGATCATCATTCAGGGAAACACCAGAGGAAGTCACAGCAGCGGACTCCAAACAAAACTTATCATCGACATTTTGGAAAATGATTAAACGAGTTGGATGAAGCAACAGCGAGGAGGAGAACGGCCGCTGCCGTCTCCGTTACAGAACGTTTCCAGAGCGGCTCTCGCTAAAAATACACACGTCCTCTCTAAATACAGACCAAAGCCAACAGGAAACAGACCAGAATAGAGCTGAATCGTCCCTGATCTAAAAATCATCGAGCTGTCAGTCTTCAGACATCTGTGAGACTACACCATCTCGCTCAGGCAGGTAGATGTTTACTCCACCCTTTATTGAACCTCCCTGAGTAAATAAGGATGTAGCATACTACAATCCCCCCCAGCTTCACAGAGTATGAAGATAACGTTGAGTCAACAGCTGTACCGATTGTTGTTGACACTTGATCTAATAATCACATGTTGTAAAAACGCCTTCCAAACAGGAAGCATCGTCGGCGCCGTCGTTGCCCCGCTGACTATGCAAGCAGGCGGGTTCAAAGGTCAGCGCACACAGCAGTTTGTTGCTCTTTGTGATGCAATGAATGCTTTTGCTTCTCGGTAGAAGAGATGGCCTTTTTTTTATAAAAAGGAAACTGAACTCATCTACAGGGAATTGGAAAAACAGACACATCCCAAGACCTGAAATCATATTCGGGGCAATGAATGTGAGAGATTATGCACAAAAGAAAAAGAAAAAAAAAGAGCTCTGTCTTGGACCTGTCAACGTTTCCATGCCAACACGAGCGCTCTCCTTGGCGGACACACCCCGCGGTTAACGCTCACCGACACACACACACACACACACACACACACACACAGACAGGTTAAACTCACGCTGCAGCCGTTGACAGCACTGTGTGCATCTGTAGTAGCTCTCCATCTCCTCCAGACAGATGCGGGTGAACCTCTCTCCCGCACGTCCCCGCCTCCCCGCGCCTCCCTCCATGCCGCCCCTGCGTCCGCTCCTCACCCGATGTGAAAAGCAGAGGATCGTTCCGCCTCGTCCTGCTCTCCTCATTTGTGATTTCCAAACCCTCCCTGCGTGTCTCTCGTGCAAACACACACACACACACACACACCTGTGAAAGTTATGGAGCGACGACACCGCTCCTCCGCCCCTCCCCTGGCGGTGTACAAATTGACGTACCTTTATTCTTATTCATTGCCAAAGACACCACCAAACACACACTCGTGCAACCTTTATCCTAAATGTCCCGTAGTGCTGCCTCCCTGAAATAACATGCTCTTAAAACTTTAAGATCCTTGTTTGTAAAACAAGCTCGTCGACACTGAAGATAAAGAGTCCTTTACATAAATGGGTTCATAGTCAAGCAAAGAATTAGCTGTCAGCATCTCCGACTTCCCTCCTTAAAGTGAAAGCCTTTAATAGCACAACTACTGTTATTTTAGAAATACGCATTGCACAGCTTTGACTCTTGGGTTCATAGGCGGCAGCACACGTGAAGTGAAGCGCAAGCTGCAGGTCAGATGTCTTTGCAACACACAAAGAGCCAACAGGTATTTTTTACAGAGACGCTGCAGCACTCAATCATCCTCCCATAACCCTACAAACAGAGATTGACCTCTGACCCGTCTGGTTTCTGGCCTTGTGAGAAAGTTGCTCATGTGGACAAGTATCGACAACAGGATTTTTTACAAAAACGATTCTTTTCAAACAATCGAACTTGCCCAGCGACCTGAAATGACTCATTTCCCGAACGGCTCAGAAGGTTCCCCAGAAGGTAGAACAGCAGGTCACACGGGGACGCTCACCCCGGCTGCTCGCCTGCGTGCGTTTATGCTTCCGTTTCCGCTCTCTCTTCTTCCGCTGGTCAACGGACACAACAGAGGATGGCCGACATGGTGAAGTACCAGACTGCTCGTCTTTCTAAAATCAGTTTCCGTCTGTCTGCCGATTAACTGGTGTACAAAGACCCAAAAGCGTCAATGAGCCACTCGCCAGGCGTCTATCATGCAATCAGTCACAGAGGTCAAACGCCTCAGAGGGCGACGTTCAGGGACCCAGATTACGCCGGAAATACATCAAATAATCCGTCCATTTAACAGAGATAATGTCGCCCAAACTACCAAAGTCCTACGGTGGAATCCGCAGTTAACTAAAGCGCAAGTTCCTCTATTATGTTTGAGGCGATAGGACATCCTGTCCCGTCACCTTGGTTTTAATAACGGACGCCACGGACCAGGACGCTCTGCCACACTAACCTTTTGGTCCAAAGGTCCCGCCGCGCGCGTGTCGGGTCAACAGGCCGATGGACGCGGACAGACTGTGAAGCAGCCCACTCAACACCTCTTGACCCTCCTGAACCAACTCCAGAAGAGACATGGTCACATCCCTGCAGGCTTCGTACTCGCGCGCTTTCTTCCCATACGGAGCGACTGCGTTTGCTCTTGTGAGTTCTAATTGTTTATCTCGCTTCATGTCTGCTCCGTGTTTATCGCAGGAAGAGAGGGGCGGAGGGATGACATCACCCCCCTCCCCCCGTAGCTAATCATAGGCAATAAGCAAGTATGAATGTGGGATTTATTCCAATTTAAAAACACCTAATGTCAGTCTGTGGTGTCAGAGTTAATGTGCTGACAATCTGATAACATCTCACCCAAAACAGCTACAAACTCACTTTGTCTTTTTGGAGAAACTGATGACTTGACTTTTCTTCAATACATGAGCCCAGATGTTGGACACATTTTGACATTATGAATGATGCTATTATTTAGTGTGCCTTCAAACACGTGGGCCACTATTAAAAAGGAAAGCAGGGAACAGTCATCTGGGAAACCGCAATGCTGGGGAAACAAAAACAGCTTCACAACAGCTTTCGTGTTGCTTTTAATTGCTTCAGTAGCAGACAGGAGGAGCTTCTGTGGCATCGCTGGCTTTCATCCTTTTTTTATAAAGTTACTGTCGTCTGGGACAAAACGAAGACTGCTGCCATCCGGGAAGGCAAATCACATTAACTTTATCCCACCGGGTTCATCATCACACAATCGCATTCCCCAATTAAACTTTAAAAAAGTACTAAGTGGTGATGATTAAGCATTTTTACGTTAAGTGGCATTATTCAATTTATCAATCAATGAAGGGCAAAAAAGTTAAAAACCCCGCGCCTCCTTCCCTTTTCTGAAAAGGCCAGAAAACTGATCCTGCCAACAACAAAACTCAATTATTGTGACTCTCTTGGAGAATCTGGCATGATTTACACTAGTTACCGGTCATATTACCCAATACTGGTACAATAGATGTATGCACGCAACGTGTCGCTCTCTGCCTGAAGAACATGATGCACAAGATACAACTGGGTTTCAAGTGTGGTGACTGTAGATCGCCGTAATGTCTGGAAGGTTTGGCAGCTTTAACTTGACCAAAGAAGGAACCAATAGCCTCATGAAACCAGTTGTCAAGCAAACTTCTGAATTGGTATTTGTGTGCAAATGGCTGAGGAATATTGCGCGTGTGTTAAAAGCTCAACTCAAATCTGCAATTCTTAGACCTAAAATCGGATCGGGCTCAATTAAGAAACCGGATATTTCAAATCGAAATGGACGATGCATTATGCACAAAGTTTCCTCTGACTTCTCCCTTTACTTGGAATCCTAATAGAGTCATGGATTTCTGCCACAGGTAGCATATGTCCTCCTGATCCAGTATCGCGGCTGCTCATCTTCAGATGTCTCTGCACATGAGACCAAGATGATAACCGTCCACCCTTTAGTCACTGCATTATATTGTCTCACTAGGTTAAATTACTCGTTGTTGTGGCGGAACCTGCTCCAAGGCACCTCTGGTCAAATGCCACTTTCAAAACCTTGCAACACACAAGCTGGGAGATTATTGTCCCCTTTTATTTACACATGCATATGGTCCAACACAGGAACATGTGACCCAACTCAATCATTAATGAGATGGGACTATTGGCCAAGCTTAAGCTACACTCAATTATTTAATTGAGTAAGATCGGTGTATGGGTGACCCGTCTTCCAGCACGACTGAGACAAGCCGTCTGTGCATATTTAGGGTGACAACCTGAAAGAAACCCGCGGGGATCCCTACCACTGATAGTCGACGGCACGTCCAGCGTCTCCTCCAAGACGTCCGGCACCGACGGCGTCCCTCCCATCGTGGCCCCCGGGACACCGAGGCACAGCAGACTCTCCTCTTTAAGGGCACTTTGCGGTTCCTAGAAGATACCAAACGTCACTCGAACAGCCACGAGTACAGCGCATCCCAAAAAAAGAAATACTGGAATCGTGACCCACGGGTGAGCGGTCGACTGGGGTGAAAGAACAGTGAAGGACTAATGGGAGCAGAAAAGAGTCTGATGCACTGTCCATTTAATTTGGTCAGCAGGGGAAGGAGAGGGAGGGCGAAAGGGAAACATGCACGCGCACGCACACGCACACACGCACACACACACACACACACACACACACACACACACACACACACAGCACTTCCCTATTTGCGTAATGCTAAACAACATCCGTGCCTCTGAGCACCGAACACACATTTGTCCTTAAGGGTGTTAAAAACATTACTTCCTCTAAATTGTGCAAAATGTAACTTACTGTATAGTTGTGACATTTTGCTCTCGTTAATGAAAAGACCAATAATTTTAGATTAATGTACTTTATCAGAACAGCAGCTCTTACAGTTTTAGCATTTAATATACAATTCCCAGTGCCTGAATGATCATAACTTAATTTTGCTGATATATTTCACAAATAATGGAAATACATTTATTTTTAAACTAATCTTACGTGTAGTGTTAAAGGCTATTTTCAGTTACACAAATATCTGATGACTTCTGGTAAATCTATCAAAGCAAATGCATCCAATTGCCAATTCAATTTCTGGTTTCCCCAAACACTGGCTCCTTTCATTTCCTTGACAATAGAGCAGCATGCCCTTATTTATGTGGACAGAGATCTTGTGACGTGGTGATATGCCAGGCTAAATAAAGACCGAGGCTAGTCTCACATGCGATCACAATGTGACACTTCTACCGGCCAATTTCATCAGAGGTGGCCCGGGGGAAGTCGGCAAGATCACATGGAAATAAAACAGTCTGCAGAGGTCAAGGGGTTTTTCAAGAAAAACACACATGCCCTTAATAACCAATGCAGACGTTTGTCAGTACAGAAATATATATATATATATATATATATATATATATATATATATATATATGCACGTAAAGGATTAGAGTGATAAAACTCAACATGTGTTTACATCATTTTGACTAAAAACACAGGAGGAAAAGTGCATCCAACTTTTTCAGTCCACCTGACACGTGCACTTCCACACGTTTAGTGACTTATTGGAGTGTTTGGGTTGGACATTGAGAATGATGAATAACTTACATTGACTAGTCAACCTGACTGTATTAATTCAAGCGTCTAGTACCGTAAACAGTTTAAGCGTACGCAAACAAGTCATTTGAATGATTATTGATGGCACATAGCGTGCTGACGTCTTCATAAGGAGCCATAATTGAATAATTAGGATGCCTACCGACACAGCGGCGCTGTCCGGTGTGCTTCCGACCGTGTATTAACGCACCTTCCTCCTCTGTGGTGATGTTGTCGAGAATGCTGCGTGAACTAATGCATCACGAGCTGGAATAATCGTCGTGTCCTCACCTGAACGTCGTCCTCCAGCCGAAGAAGCTCCGCCCATTCAATTAGCTGGACCCGGATCAGTGTCGGTGTGACACCTCCTCCTTTTCTCCCTCGTCCTGGATTAAGAAACTTTGATAAATCGGTTCGTTCGAGGCATTTCAAGGGGTTTCCCCCCATCCATCGTCAAAAAATGGACTGTGATATGCGTGTCAGGGTGATGTCACACAAAAGATGAAATTTGTAACTGCATGCACTGACTCTGGGACGGCGAGAGAAGGGACACCACGACATCTGGCGGTAGGATGAGAGAAGTGCACCGAACGGACCTTTACATCCAACGACAAAATTACGACACGCCAGAAAGTTGCGATGTTTATTTCACCAGGTCGTAGGCGTAAACTAATCCCGATAATCTCTGGAAACATGTCCTAAAGCATCGACTGTCCGGTGTTGGTGCAGGACTAAAAGTGGTGCTTTCTAAAGCAGAGCAAACGATCTAAAGTGTGATACTTTTCAACTGTAGTCCGAATGATCGTGGTTTGTGTTTCTGTGGTTGTAGGCAACAACAGCTCCTCGTTGGTTATTTAATATTAATTAATTAAACACATTTATTTTTGTTTAGCAAAGTTTGGAATGCCTTAAAAATAATAATAATACTTCGAAGGAAAGCCTATAAAAACAGAGCTCAAAAATAGGATGGATGTCCCATAAATGCCATGCATCCAATCCTCGGCTTCTGACAGCCATATTGAACATCTCTACAATTAGCTGCATCAAGTATGCACGAGAAACTTAAAATAACCGGAAGCAAGGCATATTTCCTTCAAGGTAAACTTGACACGCAAATAACGGGAGAAAGTATTTGTCTGTGCAGAAAAAAGTCGTATAACTTCTTTTGCAGCTTGATCTTTGATTTCTAGAATAAAAAGTGAAATGTTTTGCTAAATGTTGTTAACATTGTATTTATGATTATTTTTTAAAATGATGCACCATTATTGCATAAACCCTCAAGATACTTCTAACATGCTGTTTTTATTATTGCTTATACCTTAAACTATTAGCTTCTTGTCGGTTTAATATGAAGTTAAAGGTCAATAAAAAACAACAACATATTTTTCTCAAGCTTCCATTGGGCTTTTATTTCTGAGGCTCAGACCGGAAGTCGCAGTATTGCAGCGAGCGCGACACCAGCACCCCAAATCGTCTTAAGGCTGTTAAGACTTCAACGGTTTTTCTGCCGGAATTTATTTGGTCAAATCCACTCAAGAGACACGGAACAACAAACCGAACGGATTTCTCATCGTGGATATTCTGCTACGTGGGAAGACACCGAGCTTTTCCCTCATCAACTCAAAGGCACACTTCGTCCCCGCGGTGAGTTGCCTCTCCCCAAAAGATGAGCTCCCAAGTTTGGTGCAATAGCGGAAATCCTCGTGTTCAGCCAACTTATCGTTACATCGAGTACGACACGCTAGAAACGACGACTCGTACCAAGTTGTGGCCCATAGACCTGCCTGCAAAAAGCACCGTGTCATACGTAGCCTCGATATCTGTTTCTCTCTTTTACCTCCTTTTTAAATGTGGTAAATTTAATGATGACCAAACGGGTTTTTTTGGCCCGGCTGTTTAACTCCACATGTAACGTTAAGTCGCGTTATGAGGCGAACCCGTTGCGATGCTGTTCCCGTTATGTGGACTACACCCACTAACGGTAAAATGTCAGGCTCCGCTCGGCCACCTCTTCGCTCGGCGAGGACTGGCACGCCGGCTGCCATTTGGTGTGTTTTCTTTTTCTTTTTTTTTTACCCGAGCTGAACTCCGAAAAAGGCCACTTTACAGCACGTCAAAACGTACGCGTTTAAATGGTTTCAGTCGGTTACGTTGTTTTTTTTGTGTGTAACGGTTCCCGTCGACCCGTATGTTTGAATTGTGCTTAAATTACAGTGTAACGGAAGCCAACTGTCGGCGGGCGAACGCGCAGCTAATTGCTGTGAAGCTACAAGTGGGCACGTCTCCATCCGGAGAGGAGCCGCCGCGGCTTCCTTACGTGCGCGCTCCCGTCGCCTCTCGTAGTCCGCCAGGCCACTGTTGTTTAATGCTGCGCGTGTGCGTGATGGTTGTCCCTCAGCTCACTTGCCAATATGGTCTTAAAAAAAAGAAAATGTCATTCAATTAACTAATAAAGGGACGTTTCCATTAGATGGACGTGTTGACGCAGTTTGTGGTATGTTATTGATCTTTTATTTGGCTATTGGACCACAGATTGTCACGGTTATCTACAACATGGTACAAAAGCATACAGCCTTAAACCCGCATTCTGTAGCTTCCTGGTGTGATCGATGTGACACCCTCACCACAAAAACTCTTGTTTTCCCGGGATCATTTCAGTATCAGGTGGCGCTTCAGCCCGGGGTTACCTGACTTGGCGGCTTTTGTTTCAGCTCGCAACCCAGGCCGTCACCTCTGTTGCCTGTAATGACGAGTTGCAGGGTCCAAATATCTACTCATTTGTGCCTGCCAGATCTTTTGTATTCCTAAATGATTATTTTACAATGGCTCAACTCTTATTGTTTTTCACTTCCATGGTAACCGCTTAACATCGTTTTTCTGCGGCACACTCTGTACAGCGCCGCAATGGTGCATGTTGAGATGGCAGTGCACCTGTCGGTCATTGACAGATCTAATAGTAAAATATCCAACTTGAACCCATAAAAGAAAATGTGTCTCTTCTGCTTTCAGGTCCTGTGATACAGCTGTTGCTGCCGTCCCGTGACGGAATTATTGTCTCTGCTGTTGGGGTGTAAGGAGGAGAGGAAGCAAAGATGCCGAAACCGGTAAGCGGCTCGCTGAAATTAATTGTATTGGCCTTGGCAGTCTTTAATCGTGCTGTGTTCTGCAGCGGTGTAGGGAAATGCAGTGATAATGGTAAGTAGCCAAGAAAAAGAAAAAACGCAGCGCCTTATCGATGATTAATTGGTGTTATCTGATTTTTGAAAAGTAAAATCTGCATTCAGCAGTACGCCATGTTGATGACAATCTGAATTGGAGTTTGATTCGGATGACGTATTGAGACATAAAATAGCCTGTTGGTTGCTGTCTGATCCACACTGCTGCCGAGAGCTCAGCTGGGCATTCTGGGAAGTGGCCGTTCCCGCGGCTGCTCTCGCTCCTCAAACTCCTCTTCCAAGTCAACACCAGCCAGAATGTGAAATAAGCTGCCAGACCCACAGGCCTTGCAACTGCAACACTGCTACCATTGTTACTTTAAAGGGTGGAGTGAATGCCAGAGTCCCGGGATGTGAACAACAAAACCCTACCGATTTGATGCAGTCCCGTCATGGCTGTCCCACTGCTGTCATGCTGCTGCTGCTTTTTAAAGAGGTTTGGGTAGAGCTCATGCACGAGTCTGTGATGTTTGCAGTTTGCAACATTTGTTTTCGATTAACAATAAGATTTTCCGATGGGATAAAGATTTTCAAATGGAATATTGGTACAGGCACTTGTTGTTCTAAGCAGATGAATTATGACAAAGCAATACTGAGTTTGGCTTTTTTAGTGGACAGACTCTTGTGTCCTCGTTTGATTTTTAAACAAAGTGGATATCATCAATTTCATGGAAAGATTTGATGGTAGGTTGCTAAAACTAAAACCACATATAAAGTCTATCTCCCGTGTCTCTTTGGTGGGCGTTTCAGGGTTAGGGGATTTGGGTTTGGCAAGTTAGGGAAGAGTAACAGCCAGGCAATGATATCATCTCTCACTTCCCCCTGAGTCACCAGGGCACCATCCTCAAAATAGCTCCAAGGACGGTGGAGGGCTGTCCCCTCCGCTCAGAGGAACATCTCTGTCACAGACGATAAGCAACTGACAGAGAAAGTGCAGTTTGTTGAAGGGAGTCCGGACGCAGTGAACGGAAGAAGTGAGAGCAGGATGCCCTTGACGTGACCCTGTGTGGGATTGGTGCCAGGTCATGCCTCGGTGTCGGCATTCATCCGTTAACAATTGCAAGGTTGTTGAGTTAGCGGGAAGGGTACTGCTTTTTTTACTTCTTCTCTTAAAACACAGAAACACGTGGTTGCGCTCATGGTAATGAGTGATTTATACCTCCTGCTTTCAACATGTCCCGCTTTGTAAATACAGGCTAATGTGCCGTTTTTCATTACGGGGTGTTGGCACCTCACAGGAAGACGGCCCTCGCCGGCTTCCCAGCTTGTGGCTGTTTTCCCGGTTGCTGGAGAAAGGGGCCCGTTGTGTACGTCGGGGGCCCGTTCTGTGTCAACATCCTGCCTCTGTGGAAGTAGAGAAGCAAGGGGAAGAGAGAGGATTGTCCCCGGACAATTGAGGGACTGTCAGGATAGGAACGACTCAGCTGGGCGAACATCACATTTGAGAATAATAGGAAATGATAGGAGAGAAGTAAAGTGTCTGGGAATACGTTGAGGTGCTCGGGAGACTTTTCAGGAATTTGACGAGGTAGGAAACAGTGAGGTTTATTGGCAGGGGCCGTTGCTTTCCGGGCGCTGGGCAACATCAGAGCTCTGTTTGCCTGTTCTGTTTGACCATCCACCTCATTTTACAATACAAATGTTTGGTCCGTAATCACTTTCTTTCTAGTTATTATCCCTCCAGTGTATCTTGTAAAATCCCGGGAAGCTTTTGACATGCTTTTTTTGTGTACGGGATGCCTCACACACACCTCCCCTTCCCTCAAAGGGTGAATGTTTGTAGGTAGCAGTGATCCTTCTACGCTCCTTCTCTCCCCTTCTTTCCTCAGAAACCTGCCTCACCCAGCAGGGGGGTTATCAGAGAGACAGACAGCTGCTCGGAGCCCAGCAGGCCAGATTAGCAACTTTACTGATTGTAGTGTGTGTCTGTGTGTGTGTGCGCGCCCGTCTCTCTTAAGGCTCTCAACAAAGCCCCTCTTAACTGCTTACAGTTACTTAACAGCTGCACATTTAACAAGGGGCCCGTCTGAGTGAGACCACGCCTTCCCAATTGAAATGGAGAGGGGGGGGGGGGGGATTGGAAACATAAAAAAAATAAAAAATAAAAATTGAAATTATACAGTCACTGATTTTGAGACTCAATGTTCACCTGATAATTAAAGCACACGGTGCAGAGAGGTGGTAAAGTACAGCCATAAAGCATCTGCTAGCACATCTAAATGGGCGACAAATGTATCTTTTAATATGCTCGCAAACTGGAAAATGGTGCCAACTTCAGAGGAAATGTGTGTCTGGGCCCCATCGGTGTGTTTTGGTGTCACCAGACAGAGCTTGTTACGTGAGGACGAGCTTACAAAATTCGTTCCTTCGTTGGAGTGTCTTATTAGCTGTGTCGGAGCCTCCCCCTTCTCCTCCCCCTCTCTGCAGCAGAGATGGGATTAACTGGCCGTCTGGTCTCTACAGGATTCCACCTCTTCTCCGTGGATCGGCCATGGTTTGGCACAGGCGCACACACACACACACACACACACACACACATACACACATTACAAAGGTTGACTGTTCAACAGCTGATTGCTGATGGCAGGCTCCAGACACAGGCAGGGGAAGGGCCGGTCACTTGGAAACCTTGGCTGAGCACAACGTTCCCCATAACTTCAGTCTCTGAAGGTCAACAAGGTAGCTCGTCGTCGAACCAACACGGTCCTCATCCACCTCTCAGGGGCCTGTTTTAGGAGTTGACTGAGGCGTTTCCCCAGTTTGTCAAGGCTTCGCCTTAGTTGGCTTCATTTGGCATGATTGAATTTATTGCACTTTCGTTTTTTCACAAAATGATTAAATAAACGGAAGTCTGTTCATTTTGATGTCGTCCTTCCGTCCAGATCTCCAATGATGGCACATTTTTCTTGATGTCATGCAGGGTACAAGTTGTCAACCAGAACTCCGTCATATTATGTGTGCAGGAAAAGAGGGGCGGAAGTGTCACCGCTTTCTATTTCTGCGCGCTGCTTTTATGAGTGGTCGTTGGTCTCTGTTAGAAGTTGTATCATCTGCTGAACAAAGGCCAGCGTAGCAATCTTAACCGCCCTGATTGACCTAAAAAGTCTTTCTGTGAAAACCATGGTATTGAGTTTGTGTCTTGGGTCTTTTTGATTAAAAGCTTCAGGTTTTCGTAGTTCTAGTATTGTTTGTAGGCAATAGATAAAAAGTAATGTAAACTAACCCTTTTCTTTTTCTGGGAAAATTGTCAAACATATTAGCAGAGGAAACCAGAGTGCGGCTGTGGTTTCCCGGTTAGCAGTAGCTCATGTTCTATCATGTAACCAAATCCTCATCATCCTCATTGAGATGATGCTGACAGCGCTGTGTTGTAATAAGCTGCTAATGTTATTGGATGTCTGTGTCATTGCTGCAGTGCCCAGGGACCTTTCTTAACTAGAATATTTTGACCACTCTTGTCCAACACGCTGAACTAAGATGTCACATGTGTTGCTGGAATACGCGTCCTTCTGTGAATCCATCTTCTTTTTTTCTCCCCCTTCTCTGCAGATAGCTGGCCATACTGTCTATATAACAATGTGGTTTGGTTGCCCAGACATGGATTAAGCCTCAGTCTTGAATGTGGACTAAAATAGACTACGTTTCTCTGTTGAATCTTTATTTAAAGACACGTTGGCAACAGGATTAGCCGTAGTATTTGGTCTCAAAGCGTAAAATCCAATAACTGAAAACTGACCTGGACTGAATGCAGAATATAAGCATTTAATCACTTATGACCTTTTCCTGGTAAAGCTTCCCACATTGTTTTCCAAGCAAAAGAAAAAGCTTGGCCTTAAGCAGGTGAGATTCTATGTGGGATGTAAGTTCCCTTATAAAATAATGTAATCTAAACACACGTTACAGCGACAGTTTAAGGCACGCCGGAGGGTTCATGCGAGATGTCTATAGTGCGGAGAAAGTGCTGCAACTTTTCATGAGTAATTAATGAGCCGAGGCGGATACATTGTGGTCTGCGCTCCATGTGGCGCGGGGGAGTCCAGCTTTGTGCTGTATAGACACAAATTTCATGGATTATTCATTGCAGGGATATCGAGAGAAATGAGGACGGGAGAATAAATACTGCTAGAAATGTAGAGTGAGCTTTCCTGAGGTTTTGTTTATGATTGCCAAGTGGATTTTTTAAAACTTTAGTTTTTCCTTTCCGTGTGCCTTTCACTTCTGCTCTTTTTCTGTATCGATGGCTCATCTACAGTAACCTCGTCGTAACTCAAATCTCAAAAGAGATACAGCCAAGATCAACTCTCGCTTCCTGTTGCGCTCTATGCTCGGCCGCTTTTTTTTTCTTCTTCTTTGCACTCTTGCTAAACTTTTTTGCTGTCGCACTCATGTTGCCCTCTCGCCTTCCCCGGTACCATGCGCTCGTCTCCCCCTCTCTTCTTGTGACGTTAACCACTACTAAGGCGAGCTCAGCTGCTGCTGGCCTTCCCCCAGTGCTGTTTACTGGCAGCTAACAGCTGACTTCTATCCCCAGCTCCACCCCAACACAGGTCCAATAGCATTGGCCGCCCTGAAAAGTGGAGCTTTTCTTTACCCTGGCTGTGTGTGATGGGAAAAAGAGAGCGAGGAGCAAGTTCGCATCGTCCTTTTTTATCAAACCTGGTTAAGAGGAATAAACACGTGGCTTGTGTGCTGAGCAAACGTGCTTTCATTCTCTTCTTTTGTAGGATTGTTGGCTGTGAGAGAGTTTATTTTAAAATACACATGCTGTGTGCCACATCCCACACGGTCTATTGTGTTTTATTTCCCTTCATCCCACTATAGACAACAGGCTGAATGTCAAAGTTAAGCACAAACGTAATTCATTTCCGCCTCAGATCTGATCTAGTATTTTATGTTTTATAACAGTATAGCAGAGATACACATTAGGTATGTGTGAGAGGAATTAGGCAGCTGACCTTCACGCTTTATGCTTTGCATTTTACCCACTATATATTTTATGTTTCAAAAACTTTACTGCGCGGGTTAAACACACTAATACCATTAATGTCTCCTGATTGATGATGAAGATTAGTGGATGTTAAGTCGAGATTAGAGAAAAAGGGCACTAACGGTAATGAGCTCAAGGCTGAGCAAGGCAGCATATTATTTCAGCGTGCCAAAAAAGACTTTTCATACACTTTTATTATGAATACATTGTATTTTTGTGTTTTTTCAAATGAACAAAACTTTTGACCTGTATTTGGCTTTACAGTAATTGTCCTGGTGTATTTGGTCAAAACCTTCAATTGTCACTTTAAACAAAACCGCAGTTCAAGAAAACTAGAAAACCCTTGAAGGTATTGTTAACCTTCGTAATGGTAATCAGGCCGCAGTGCGGTATCTGATCCGGCCACGTAAAAATCTTTTTGTCAAACAAAATAAACCCGTTGTTTGTTTGTGTGTTTTCCAGATCAACGTCCGTGTGACCACTATGGACGCCGAGCTGGAGTTTGCCATCCAACCCAATACCACAGGAAAGCAGCTCTTTGATCAGGTGAGCGTGAGTGACGTAACCACAGATGTCGACTGGCTATCGCTTTTCCTCAGGGCTCAACCACGACGGCGCCGCATCAGTTCAGGGCGGGGTCTTTGGTGGAGTCTCACCACCCTGGGACCCATTAAAAATAAATAAAGTTTTATTCAATTCTTTAAATGGTGCTTTTCTTAGCCTGTGTGATAACCGCTATTTGTTTCACTGTCAGGTGGTGAAGACGGTCGGCCTGCGGGAGGTCTGGTTCTTTGGCCTTCAGTATGTGGACAGTAAAGGTTACAGTACTTGGCTCAAACTCAATAAGAAGGTCCGTCGAACGCTACTTTCATTTCACCAAACGCACCTTTACTGTCTTCTCCTTTCACTGCCTCAACCTCCTGTTCTTTCTATCCATTTGTGTGTGTTAAGGGCATTAACTTATTATTAAATTATCAAACGATCATTCAATTTCAGCACAGTCCAACCAAACACTTTAGTTTAACTTCTGCTGATTTAATCAATGCTCTGATGGTGACGTTGTGTCTGTCTCGCAGGTGACTCAGCAGGATGTGAAGAAAGAGAACCCTCTGCAGTTTAAGTTCAGGGCCAAGTTCTTCCCGGAGGACGTCTCTGAGGAACTAATTCAGGAGATCACCCAGAGACTCTTCTTCCTGCAGGTGGCAATTCACTCGCCAATCAAGTTTCCATCCAAGTGTAGTTCAAATGACTCAATGTTGACGGCAAAGTTTAAATACATTTGATTTGTTCACTCACTCCCTGCTGTTCCACCAGGTGAAGGAGGCCATCTTGAACGATGAGAACTACTGCCCCCCAGAGACCGCTGTGCTGCTGGCGTCCTATTCAGTCCAGGCCAAGTATGGAGACTACATCAAAGATGTCCACAAAGTTGGCTACCTTACCCATGACAGGCTGCTGCCTCAGAGGTACACACACACTCAATGCTCTGCAGGTTGTCTCGCACTAACCTGTAGAAACCTAGAATGTTGTTTTGTCCCCCGTTGGCACGTCCCATGATTTCCTCTCCAGGAAAGCATTGCTTGAGATGAGGTCATTGTGTTTTTGCACACAGAGTCCTGGAGCAGCACAAGCTAACCAAGGAACAGTGGGAGGACAGGATACAGACGTGGCATGAAGAACACCGAGGAATGCTCAGGTGTGTCTTTTCTTAAAACCCCCTGAGAGACAACGTGTACCTGTTCTGCCTTGTTGTGTTGTTACGATGTGGGCTTATAAATGTCCCGATTGTACGATTTGTGCTTTTATAATAAAAGGTTGTGACCTTTTTCTAATGATAAAACATGTGTGATTTATGTTCTAACTCCTCTTGCTTTTTTTCCCCTCCAGGGAGGACTCTATGATGGAATATCTTAAAATCGCCCAGGACTTGGAGATGTACGGCGTCAACTACTTTGAGATCAAGAACAAGAAGGGCACACAGCTGTGGCTCGGTGTGGATGCTCTTGGCCTCAACATCTATGAACACGAAGACAAGTAAGGCACACGCACACGCCGACAGACCCGTAGAGATTACTTGCATTTTGGGGGAACGCTCTGTCTCACCCTGTTTGTGGTTACCACCAGCCCTCTGATTAAAATACCCTTTTAATTTTTTGCTGCTGTTGTGTCTGGTGTAGTAGTTTGGAACCCTGATGCCTTGTATACTGATGAACACTATCTCGTGATTGCAAGGGAATCAGCGCTGTGGTTGGCAGGTGATTACTTAACGGCAGCAGACATGAGGGCGAGTGAGTAGGTGAAGGCTTATGACGCAACGGCTGTGCCTGAACTCGGGTCACCATAACAGTTAGGGCTGTCACGATAACTACGTTTTGCAATTATTGCACCAAAATGAATTGCTATAAACAATATTGTTTTTTAATTTTTAGACCTGATTACCTAATGACAATATAATAGCATAATAATGCAACTATGCTCTTTCAAATAACAAAGTTTTATTATATAGAATATTTAGGCATAAGAATCAAAATGTTAAAAATGTATCTTAAATAAAACGAATAAATAATAAGTACAAGGGACTTGCGCATGGCCCTCCTGGCCAAGGAGGCGGACCCGCAGTCGGAAGGAACAGACAGTAGTTTGGGTTGTTGTTTAGGTTGTTGTGTCTTAAGTGAGATTTTAGGTTAGTTGTGTTGCCCCTTTTTGTTGCCACTGTTCGTGGCTCGTTGACGTTATTGGTTCTCCTCTCTCATTCGGCTTAAAGCAAAAATGTTCCCGGACTGGAGCTGAAGATTGCGGCTTCAAAACTATTGGTCCTCATTGCCTGTAGCTGTCACGAAAAAACCCTTCATAACAGTCGGGTCACGCATTCCCTTCCCCTGGTGTGCGTGTGTGGAGGACAGAGGCAGCGGGATCGACCTAAAATGTTGTTGACATTCATTTATATGTAAAAGTAATATAGTATATTGCAGCACCAAAAATCATCGCCCTCATTTTAATATATTTTGTGATAAGTTGATATATTGATTATCGGAACAGGCTTAGTAACTGTCTGTTCTCAATTACCAAACTTCATCTTGGATTCCTAGCAAAACAGATGACCAAAATAAAATACAACATAATACTATGCTTTAGGTTTCTGTGTTTTCCTGGAGTTGTTTTGGCTTATTTTTAGTGTGAGTAGTTTTCATGTTTTATAGACTTTCCAAGGACGTCATCGAATGGTCCGGGATTATGTTCTGTTATGACTTCACAGCTCATATTGTGAGCACTCTAAACAGTCAACTGTATTGTACAGCTTGTATTCACCTGACATTGTAAATTGGAGTTCTGACGTACCGTATAACAGTATGTGTTCACAAGCCAGACTGCTGTAACTAAATCATCTATATGTATGTCCTAGAACTGTATTTAGTTGTAGCAGTGGCACCAAATATGATAATCTGAACCAGAAGAATCATTTGCTTCTAAAAATGAGTTTTATTTACTGCTTGCAGATACTATCCTTAATGACAATTCAATCATTCAGATTCAGCTCAGATTTCGGCATTTTCTCACCCGGTGCCAACATGACATGCAGGTTTAGAGGAAGCAAAGCTATTTTTAGAGGTGAAAGCTGAATGGGCGGGAGGGGTCCATCCGGTTTAGTCTGTGCAGTGCTCCTTTTTTCTTTTTTACCTCTTCATGGAAGAAAGGGTAGAGGGCAGAGCAGCCTTTCCTCTCACTGCTTTTCCCTTCCTGTCCGTTATGAGGTCATAGCGACTGCCATCATCGTTCTCTTGTCCTGCTCATAAAGCAAGTAAGGAGGGATTGGTTTCTTACACCCTTTTAAACAGTAACATCCTCAATATCAATTATTTCCTGTCTTTCATTTTCATTTTGAGTAAAGAACACCCACCATCCTTTTCCATTCTTGGCAGTAAGCGTTTGGTGTCACCCACCTACTTCTCTTTTCTGTTACTCTTATCAACCGCTGAACAGAAAAAAGACCTTTAAACTGAAATCTCCTGACTTCCTGTCAGGGGTTCATACTCGGCACCATCTGCCGGCTGAATGTTAGAAAACGTTCTGCAACCAGCTGCGTGAAACCCTTTATTCTGTATGTCACATGTCATAGGTTGATATGTTAAAAGTGTAAACTGTTCACCTCTTATTTTCTCAGGTTGACACCAAAGATCGGCTTTCCCTGGAGTGAGATTCGAAACATCTCTTTCAATGACAAAAAGTTTGTCATCAAACCCATTGACAAGAAAGCGCCTGTGAGTGTGACATTTATTAGAAGTATAAAATAAGTATTTTACTCTCTGCACTATGTATAAAGGAAACTTGGCCCGCTTTGCATTAATGGGTATATTTCCCTCGTCTTTTACAAAAAATGTAGGACTTTGTGTTTTATGCTCCGCGACTGCGCATCAACAAGCGTATCTTGGCGCTGTGTATGGGGAACCACGAGCTGTACATGAGGAGGAGGAAGCCCGACACCATTGAGGTGCAGCAGATGAAGGCTCAGGCCCGGGAGGAGAAGCACCACAAACAGATGGAGAGGTACTTCATTTTGGACGGAGGTCATTAGAAAACATTCAGGAAAAGACATTTTTTTATTTTTTGAAATATCATATTTTAAGCTTTCTATTTTCCCATTTGAAATAATAAATGCCCTTCCTACAATACAAGATAGCTTCTAAATAAAACTCGTCATTGTTCCCTTGTCACTTGTCCGTATATAAATATATATCAAAACACTTGAATATTTAAATTCAAATCAAACTGAAACTGAAAACTAGCAGCTGTAGAAGAGCTTTTCCACTAGAGGGCAGTATCGTCCCTTTTCCGTACATGATCAGAGGCCTTTTTTCAGTTAAAGGCTCTCCAGCAGTTAACAGTTCTTTCTTTAGGTAATCTGATGCGTTTCTCTGTATTTTTTACTATATTAGAGTAAAATGTTGGTCATTCTAAAATGTATACTCGTCTGAAACGCGTCATTCCAAAACGTCACAGGGCTCAGCTGGAGAATGAGAAGAAGAAGCGGGAGTATGCAGAGAAAGAGAAGGAGAGGATAGAGCGGGAGAAGGACGAGCTCATGGAGCGGCTGAGACAGATTGAAGAGCAGACGATGACGGCCCAGAAAGGTACCTTCTTTTTGTGTCTTTGCTGATGTCCTCCACTCCCTTCCTTGTGTCGCTCTCTGGAGAGTCCAACAAAACAAACCAAACCAACATGTATTTGTAAACGCTCCCTCGGGTCTAGTTTTACGTACCTTTTTTTTTTTTTTTAATAAACCGTATCCTATTCATCCAGGTAGTTTCCAACACAGATCATACTTAAATTCAAAGATGAAACGAGGGATGAAACTATGTGCGACTTGTCGCTTTGTGTCTGCAGAGCTGGAGGAACAGACTCGCCGGGCCATGGAGCTGGAGCAAGAGAGAAGGAGAGCGAGGGAGGAGGCCGAGAGGCTGGAGAAGGAGAGGGAGGCGGCCGAGGAGGCCAAGGCAGAGCTGGCCAGACAGGCTGCAGACCAGCAGAAAACCCAGGAACAACTGGTGTGTGTTTGTGTGTGTATGATGAGCTCATTCTGGTGTGTTTTGAATGTAAGTCTATGTGTAACACATATTTTCTGTTTCTCCCAGGCGGCTGAACTGGCTGAATTCACAGCCAAGATCGCTCTCCTGGAAGAGGCCAAGAGGAAGAAAGACGACGAGGCCACAGAGTGGCAGTATAAAGTACGGGAATCCTACGGAGAACACTGGCCTGCTTAGATGTCCTCAGACATTCAGCCTTTCTAACGGCGACGGCGTCTCTCCCTCTTGCGTCCCTCGCCCGCAGGCCCTGTCGGCCCAGGAGGACCTGGAGAAGACCAAGGAGGAGCTGAAGTCCGCCATGACAGTGGTGCCGGCGTCTCCGGGTGGCAACGCCGAGAGCGAGCACGACGAGCAGGACGAGAACCACGCGGAGGCCAGCGCTGAGCTGTCCAACGAGGGCGTCAGCCAGCTGGACCTCCGCAGCGAGGAGGAGCGCGTCACCGAAGCCCAGAAGAACGAGCGGGTGAAGAAGCAGCTGCAGGTGAGACCAGCCTGCACACCGCCGGCCTCCTCAGTCCTCCACCTGACTGAACCGCGTGCGAAACCCTCAGCAGTGATTCGCCGAGCTGCGGTGTCCATGTTGCTAAAGTGGTACTTTAGAAATGGGTCCAGTTGGCGAGACCGCGTCCCAGTGAAAAGGCCTTGAATTAAAGACAACATTCTTTGACTGTCGAGTACAAGCTAACTGTCACAATCAATGTACAGATTTCTCACAAACGTAACAACAAGATCATATTATTTTCTAACATCTGTTTTGTCGCAAAGAAGAAACACCTGCCGAGAAACACGGTGGTAACAATTCCATCGATCAGCTATCAGAGAGTGGGAACCCTGATTTATATGAAACATCTTTAGCCAAAGGCTGTTTCTAAGTAGCTGTGCATTGCTCTTCTTTCCCGTCATTTTTTTTCTCTCCCCTCAAAAACCTCCATGACTCTTCTTTGCAATTTTTCATTACCTCTTTTCTTCCTCATCCTCCCGTCTCTCTTCTCTCTCCCAGACGCTGAGCTCGGAGTTGGCCGAGGCCAGAGACGAAACCAAGAAGACTCAGAACGACGTGCTCCACGCGGAGAACGTGAAGGCGGGCCGGGACAAGTACAAGACGCTGCGGCAGATCCGATCGGGCAACACGAAGCAGCGCATCGACGAGTTTGAGTCCATGTGAGAGCAGCATCTCCCCCCTCCCCCTCCTTCCCGCCCGCCCCCCGCTCCCCAAAACTGTTCCCTCAGCAGCTGCTCAATTTTCATGGACAACAGTTGCTGCCGTCCCCGTAGAGCCCCCCGCTCCCACAGCTCCTCCCACTCCCCACCCGCGCAACACACGAAGGCAATCTTGAGAAATCCTCTTGTCAAACTTTGCCAAAGTCCCGCCCCAAATCTCCAACCTGAAAGGTCTGGATACGTCCCTCTATGTGGAGTTCCACTCTGAGCAGGCTGATGTTCTGCAGAGATCCTCTGCGCGCTGTCAGCACAGTAGAAACTGTTCAACAAAAAATGGAAGCAATTTGATTTTTTTTATTTGTTATTATTATTATTTTGAGCAAATTGGGCCATAGAAAGCAACTGGTTTTTGTCAACTCGTATGCAAAGGTTTGGATGGTTTCAGTTAAACATGATTTAAACTACTTCCCTCTGCTTTAGTTGACTGTTTTTGTTTTTACGGATTACGCCCTTTTTCTCCGGTGTCCGTCGAACACATAAAGCCTCAGGCTGCGTCTGTTCCCTGGTGTTTGGGGATAAATGTGCCCACTGCTTTCATTCAGCATTCAACCGCTGCTTGTATTATTTCAAAACACATCACAAGCTAGTTGTGCTTATTCTCTTGGCATTGGTGAGTCCCCAGAGAGCCGAGCTGAGGTCAATTCAAACTGTTATTTAAATGTTACATTCACGGCTTCATGGTAAAAATGACACTGCAGTATTTTCCAGGCTGGATATGAAGGAGAGCAGTAAGTGAACCGGCCCTCGTTGGGAAAAGGGAAACTCAACCTGTCACGTGGGAGGTCTCGATGAACGAATGTAGCAACGGTATCAAAGGGAAAAGCACGTGCCACCGAGCTTAAGTGTTATAAAGATAAGCTAATTGGTAGTTGTGTAGCCTTGTTTGTGTGTGTGTGTGTGTGTGTGTGTTTCTGGCTTCGTAGTGTTTCATTCGTAGTCCCTACAGATGATTTTCTCTGCCCACCATTTCAAAAAGGGAGCCTGCGTAAAACCGACAGATGTGGCGACAAATGTGTACGCTGAGACCTGACACCTCTCTGGCTGGGGAGCTGATGAAACCATCGGCCCTCGACCCGGGACGTATCTCTACCTCAGTAATGTTAGAAGTAAGACTGACAGCCCCCCCTGCCCCACAACCCTCCTTTCCAAAAAAAAAACCCATAACAATAAGCAAGGTCACGATCTTACTCGGATGCTGTTACATCCTCGAGCGTTGCTCCTGGGAAGGCTGCGTTAAGGTTTCGAGAACATTACGGGAAATGGTTGTTTGTCACGCTAGTGTCACACGAGTCACTTTGCGTGTTCTGGCTGGTTCCTGAGAAGCATTCTGGGTTGTTGGTGGCGAGCCACATGCACCCAAGGGCCCATTTAAGATGAGGCTCTCCTGTGTAATAATAATTCATTGCAGTCAGACCGTTTGCACATCTGCAGTGGATTGATGGGACTGAGAGACTGCAGGAAGAGATGCATTATGGGTCGCTCTAACATGAAGGGACCTCGCTAATGTGATTTCTCCAAATCTCTCCAGTCAAATGGAGGGTTGGCCAATTTGTTTCCCTAAATCGTATTAGGAATTCTCATAATTTGTGCTCACTGAACAAACTGACTCCATCTTTTCTGAGGTGGAACATTTATTTCAGGTTGAATGTTTTTGGAATGAGTAAAAAGTTTTTTTTATTCACAAAATAATGAAATGTTCTGGTATTATTTGTAAAGATATATACTAGACAGCTGGTGTAGAGTGATTGTTGTTTTTTTTCTTTTTAATAGTCATAGTTTTAAAGCACTGACACTGAAGCTTGCCTTTGGCATTAACTTAACCCAGTGTCTGCTGTTAGTGTTCGCCATAGCAGGGGAAGGAAATGATCCTGTGCTTCCAGCTTATATTTTTGTATTGTGTTCAAAGACTCCAAACCAGCGGCGGCCGTTGCTAAACCGGACGGCTTCACATCCGGTCCGAAAGGTTTGAGTTATAGACGGTGTCTGAAGTCTGTCTGTGCTGGTGATGCCTGCCCTGGCACCAGCAGTCACGTTTTGCTTGTATGCCCCCCCTCCCCTCTTATGTTCATGTTGGTATGCTATTCTTTAAGATAGACGGCACAGATGGATTGCAGTCCATTTCATTGGTTCTGAAATAAAAGTTTTAAAGTTACCTTGTTTCGGGACCCATTTGTTTTCTCTGACATCAGCAATTGAATCCGGATGATGAGGTATCAGGATTCAATTGTATCGTTTCTTACAGAGGAGTTCTATCACCATCATTATCTCTAGATTCACGCACTCCATAAATCAGGGAGGGACATTCAGGGAGGGACATTCAGGGGGGGGATTGGGCCCCGTTATCTCGCTGACGTCATGACGCATGCGCAACAACTGACAACCTGAGGCGAAACGCACATGGGAGGGGTGATGCCCTCTTCCTGAACCTGCTACAGAGACGTGTGGAGCGTTTCATGAAAAGGTAGAGGAACTGAAAACCACTTGACGAGTCCCTTGTGAGTTATTTGGCTTAGTTGGTATTTGGACATTAGTTCGGGGGTAATCAACAACTGACACGGTGGACAAATTACCCTGAATTATTCAACTTTAAACAAGTTTATTGTGGACATGAACATGAGGTTTTATATCCATTTAACATGCTATAACTTCTTGGAAATGAAAAATCTGCTGAAAAAAAGACTGCTGATTCATTAACCCTAAATTATTGACTCAGTAATTAAAAGATGTGTGAGAAAATACATTAGTCACATTAGTATATGTAGTGAAAGCGGGAAAGAAATACCAGACTTCTTCAATGACAAACTCTTAAGCCACGTTATAGTCAGGTGATTTTATTTGCAAATGCAGCTTGTTAGCACAGCGTTTGAATACAGGTAAGGAGGCCTAAACATTAAAAATCAAGTGATCTTGTAGCTTATTTAAACAAAGTTCAGAGGTGCATAAAATATAAAGCTTGAAAAACATACTTGAGGGATTATATTTACACAATTTAAATTGGAACTGGACATACATGATAATGCAAATAAGGCTTAAAGAGACATTACAGTTTGTAAAACGCTCCATTGAAACCCCCAGTAGAGTTTTCCCATCACTGAGAATAGTTTGAGTATCTGTAAGTAAGTTAAGATAAAACGGCGTAATGGTACTAAATACAAAACTGATTCATTACAGAATAAGCTGTGCTCTTGTGATGTAAAACGCATAGTGGAGAGCTCAGCCGGGTCCCACACAAGATTTACATTACTGGTCTTATACATAAGCAGCAGCAACAAAGGATCGCATCCCATTCATTTGGTCAAATGTAACTATCGGACTTTCTTAACAGCAAAGTAGGGAAACAATACAAGTGAAAACTGCCCAATGTAGAGTCGACAGGCATCTGTTTTATCAACTTAATGTAATGCTGAATTATGTATGGACATTTGAATCTGAGGCCAGAAATCATCCCATTAAGCCTTAAAAAAAATCTGTTTATAGACGATTATTATAGAAATTCCATTGATTCATTTTGAATGAGAGATTGTACTTGTTCGTGATAAAAAGAAGGCAACTCTAGGTGGTTTAAATTGGCGTTTGAAACAAAACACGAGAATGAGGGTCCGATCCAACTTAGTTGATGCATTTGATACCGAGACGATCCTTCAGCAAATAAAGTAGTGTTTCAGCATAAATTACACATATTCCCTTAATGGCAAAAAGCTCAAAATGTACCTGGTATTTAAAAAAAAATATGTTCTACAAAAGGACAGACTCTAACTGGACGGTGACCACAAACAAGCAGAGTGAAGAACCAATAAGCGTGTTTTTAGGTTGTAAACAGAACGTGACTCTACGTTACGGTCGTAATCAGACGTAAGACTCCTCGGCAAACAGAAGCTGCTCAAAGTCCGGTTCCGCCCCGCTGCACCTCTTCAGCCAATCGCTGCGGCTCTCCGCCAGCGCGGCCGTCACCCGCTCGCCGCTCTGGGGGTCCGACGAGAAGTAGTCCTCACCGCTTTGCCGCCGCCTCGGAGCCCTCGGCCCCGGTCGCTGGCCTCCGCGTCCCCCGCCGGAGGCCCGCCCGCCGCCGCCTGCCGCCCGGGTTCCGACCCCCGGCGCCCGCCGGGCCCGGCGTCGCGCCCCTCCTCCGCGGGGGAGACTTGTGTTGCTTGAACAGGGACAGGGACGCCCCGCTCGGCCCGGGGACCGGAGACGGCGACGGTTGCCGCCGCCGCCGCCGCTCGCTGCCGAGCTGCTCGAAGGTCACCGGGGAGTCCGACGCGGCGAACCAGGGGGACTTGGGGAACTGGAGACTGCCTGTGGAGCGATGGTGGGAAGGGGGGCTGGATGAGTGGACCGGCCTCCCCATCGCGCGGCGTCTTTCCCGCCCTGCGTCCCCGGAGGCTCCGCGGGACGCTTTGGGCTTCGGCTGGCCGGTGGACATCGGTGGTGCTCGTCCCCTCGCGGCTCCTCTTTCCTGCTCCCCCAATGTCAGCGACTTATCGGAGGATCCTCCCTGCTGGCAGAAACCAAAGCGATGTCAATCAGTCCGCACACCGTTTAACTCACTATACTTTGTTTCTATGTGGAAGAAGTCATAGTATAAACATATTAAAAATAGCTCATAACAAAGTATGTAGAAAAACTAGCAGAGAAGCAAGTAAAAACTCATGAAATTACAGCGACTAAAGTTTATTTTGCAGTTCTGTCCTTCGGTCCAGAAGAAGTTGGCGAGGCTGGACGAGCTCAGAATGAAGACACATGCTGAACATTGTGTTGTTTCTTTACAAAACCACACGCCACATAGTGTTGCCTAATCCAGGGTAAATCGTGCTAATTAAAGCAGAGGGGTAAGCGGTCACCTTTGGGTTTGATCAGTTACCTCAAGGTCAAATACAAGAACCAGTCACCACGTGGCAGAATAGTGCAGATGCAGAGAAGTTGCCATCACTGTGTTTGTGGGTGTGTCATTGGGTTTCATGGTTTGACACTGGACCATAAGGCCAAATACGTGAAACCGGGTGTTCCAGAGGTGTGTGTGGGGTGATGGCGTAGGGGTGTAGCAGAGGGATACGGTCCCACAGGTTGTCGGTTTGAGGCTCAATCAGTGAATCTTGTAAGTTGATTTGACCTCAGCTTTGGTCATAAGTTTTGACAGCCAACCTCAGGGTCAAATATGAGGAACAAAGCAGTGCAGATGTGGGATTGACTGGTGGTGCAGTGGCTTCAGTGGGTGAAAATAAAATATCCATCTGCAAGTGTTGTGCATTCAGGGTTCAAATCCTGGTGGTGGAGGAGGAGGTGGAGATGGGGGCAGTTTCCCCACTGGGCGTTTCAGGGAGGTGCAGCCTGGTGGTTATGGAGAAGGACACAAGGGGAAGGGTGACTTTTGAAGATTCAAAATGTTTTGAAGAATTGTGTCTGTGCATTTTGCGCTATGGCGCTTAAAGCTTGTTGCACCTTCCAAGGTTCAAGCCCACAACCTCCTGACTACCAGCATTTATAAGCCTGAGGGTTTTGACATGCTGGGACTTTAAAAGTATAGTATATCATGACTACATATTTGATGGCATACTATCAAATTCATTATTTTAACAGAATATACGCGGCACGTTGTACCATGCAATTGTGTTTTTTAACATTCAGCAATTTGCCTTTTTTACTTAACATACTATAGTAAGATTGTTTTTGGACATAGTATATGATGTCTTATTTAAACATTATATACCGTGACTTTCTTAAAAGGTTTCACACACTCAAATATGAATTCCATTTTAACAAACTACGCTTTCACTTCTCCAACCATCTATACAATGACCTTTTAAAGAGAATGTACTACAACGTTAGTACTTCACTTGTTAGTTTTTAACTTGCTATAATAACTATAATATACTCCTTTTTTAACATGCTTTACAATTACAACTTATGTTATATAAGGTTTGTGCACAAAGAAATGTCTGGTTTATGAGCTTCTTTTTGACATTATACTGTGATGTTTTTGTTCTATGACACCATTTCTCCTGTGCACAACAAACTGATCCACAAACATCTTTATTTATTAGTATGATGTTCTCCTGAAGCTGCCACTTTCTGCGCCTTCCCTCAAAAATCTTTTTTACAGAAGAAGCTGAAGAGCTCAGGGTTAGAAAAAACAGTCACAAATAAATAAGACAAATTAAATAAGACAAACGCATTCCGCCAGTGGGACACAGAAAACCATATGAATACTCATTGCAGTTCGTTAACCAGTTAACCGTCCTCAGGGAGAAAGCACCTTTGCTGTGTTCACGTGTGTGGACACAAGCTGCTGTGAACGTCTCTCCAGTTGTTAAAGCCGACTGACAGACGCCGTGTGACGCTACTGAGGAAATATGATCCATTTCTTTTAAAACGTTAGTAGCTGTATAGAACATCAATCAATGGCAGATCAAAATATTTAACCACTTCACTCACCTCGGCCTCCTTCTCCACGGTGTCTTGTTGGGTGAGTGACAGTCTGCGGCCTTTCTTCAGCCAGGAGTTTGGGTGGAGGCCCCTGCAGCCTTTCAGGGTCCCCCAGTTGACTGCTTCTTTGGGTTGGGTGGGGGCTTTTTGAAAAGTCCCCAGGTCCAGATGTCCACCGGCAGAACTTATGGTCATGGGTTTAGAGGCGAGAGAGGAGGGGGGGGAACCGGGGGGCAGATGACTCTTGGTCGGGTGAAGCCCGCGTCTGGGCTCCCGGGCGGCGTCACCGCTGGGGGAGCCGAGGGAGTCCGTGGAGGACCGGGTTTTTTCCGGGGAGGCGGGGGTCGGGGACAGGCTGGGGGAGCTCACCTCCACCTCCTTGTGTTGGAGCGCCACGCCGCCGGGTTTGCTGGACAGCTCCTCGCCCCCGTGAGAGAGGCCGTGGCCCCCCCACCCAGGGACGCACGGACGAAACTCGGCCTCGCACGCCACAGCCGGCGCCGAGCGCCGCCGCCGCCGCTCATCCCGGCCGGGTTGAGAGGAGGGGTCGGCGTCCTCTCTCCCGCCGCCGCTCCGCCCCAGCGGGGGGGACTTCTCGCGCCACGGGGGGCTGTCGGTTCGGGCCGGCGGGAGGTCCGGGTCCTGCTCGCAGTCGCTGAACGTGAGGACGGAGTCCAGGCTGCCTCGCAGCGTTTTGAGTCTGGCGAGATCTTCTGCCGCAGGCCGGGAGAGTCCAGCTCGTTGTCCAGGCTGTCGTAGGAGGAGTCCGTCAGAGGGTACGGCCAGGAGTCTGATGGGGGGGCGGGGGGCGGGGGGGGACGACGAAAACAATGAAATGAAAAACACCTCCTCCAACCTCTTTTTTACATTGCATGAATGCGCGGGAGCGACCATGTAGGCCATTTGAGTGCTGTCATATTTTTCCCGCACCTGATCCCATCTCGTCGGTCAGTCTTTGCGGCGGTCCTCCAAACAGGGAGGAGGGATTCTCCCCCAGGATCTGCTGACAGTGCTCAATCATAAACTTCACCAGCTCACAAACCTGAGAAAGACAACGGTGGGTATTGTTATCGTAACTACCAGGACGACCTGGTAAGCATTCACCAAAGCTCCATTGTCTTAACAGTGTTGGACACTTTTCAAGGCTGCGTGGGAGCACTGTCCTGTTTCATGTTTTACGTATTTACGGTGCATCATCATTTCTAGGCAGCAAATAGTGGCAAAATGCTTTGTGAAACAAAGTACTTCTGTCCGGGCATTGCCCCCGGAGTTGTCTCCGTTCTTGTCAACGTAACAAAACGGATTACATCGCGTTGCAACATTGGTGCGTGTCCAAAGTTACCGATCCATCCAGATCTGGGTCAAATTCCATAATGCATTAGCTGCTAAAGTGATGTTTCCTTCTTACCCTCTTGGTTTCTTCTCCCTCAACCTCAGGACTACAGGGGGCTCCGGGAGGCCAAAGCATGCTGGGAGCGATGCACACTGACAAATTGAAAGTGGTCATCTGGTTCTCGTGGGCGTTGCCCTGGATACCATGCAGCAACGCCAACAGGTAGCGTAGCAACAGGGCGTTTTCCTTGGGCAGGCGGCATATCATCCTGCAGGAATAAACGAATATGGGAAATAAAGTGGCGTAAAGCTTTGAAGGTCACGCCACATGTTCAAGCATCTGGAAAACCGCATGTTGTTTCCCCAAATCCACACCGTTACTTGACGAGAAGTGGAACCGAGTGGAGTGTGCGAATATTACCTCTTGACGTCCTGCACTTGTTCCTCCTCCTCATCCTCCTCATCCAGCACCTCCATCCACTCTTCATGCAGCTCGCAGCGGAACAGGCTGCTTGGGATGCTGCGCAAGAAATCCTGAAAGGAAACACGCGCGCCCCCATCACACATTAGGTGTCTGAAAATGTCGGCGTAAAACCTCCTCTCACAGTGAAAGTGAGATATTTGATTATGACATTATCACTTCAATCATTAATGTAAATGACAGTAACAGCACAGGTGCTGTGCTGCAAGTCTCATCCCTCGTCCACAGAGCCTCTCTGTTATCCCTCCAGATGATAAGAGATTATATTAGGCATTGTGAACAGCTTGTCCTGGTAACGCAGCTCTGGAAGCGGATTTGCTTTCCAGCTTACAGATCTGAGTCAATGAGGTGACGAGCACGTGTTGCTAAGTATTCAAACCCGCCTCGTTTACATTGAAGATCGGGGGGATGGGTGCTATTAAAAGGAAGAATAACCCACCGAGATCTGAAAACATAGATGACACAGCTCGTAGTGTCCCACCTTAAAGACTCCCGCGATGAGGAAGACGTGGTCTCTGGAAAGAGGGAGCTGAAACCCTCCCGCGTCCAGATTGTCCCGGAGCTCCCTGACGGCGCGAGCCCCCGCCGACCGCCGGAAGATCCCCCGCGTCCATGAGCCCTCGTGGTACAGAAACGCCATCATGTCCTGGGCAAACAATGTTTCTTATTTATTCATTCTTTGCGACACTTGAGTGCGGAGGAAGCGCGCCTCACCATCACCGGCTTCGGCAGAGCGTCCTCGATGCAAACGGAGCCGAGCGGCCGGCCGAACAGGCAGCCGCGCGGCGCGCTGGCGAGGGACAGCTCGTTCAGGTGAGAGGAGGAGCCTCGCCAGAAGGCCCAGGTGATGAGGGAACGCCTCCTTTTAAACGGCTTCTGACACCACTCTGAAAAATGCATTAAATTGATTGAAGGAAATGACAGCATCCCAGAGCGAATCGGGGAGCCCCTCACTCTGCTATGTCTGTGATTACTCTTTATGAATAATGACATCACCTGCGGACGCGTGCGGCAATTCCACGGGTCGCGGCTTCATGATGAACTGGCACTGCTTGTACACTTGCATCTGCTCCACCTGCATGGCCCTCTGTCCGTCGGCGTCCCTTCCTCCGCCTCCCTGAGACATGGTGTGTCTCACGTGGCTCATCTGGATGCTGAAGGGAAACTCGTGACCTGAGGCGGGGGGACAAGACGGCCCGCGTCACTCCCTGGAGGCCTGGATGTGACTGATAGCAAACGCAGCCGTAGCATTGTGTGATTTGCTCACACCCTGATGGAGGCGTACTGAATGAAGGGTACCAGTGTGTTTTTGAGGGCGCGTTCTGATTTTTTGTCAAACTGGACTGGAGCTCACTGACCAATCAGAGGATAAGGGGTGTTGTCCCTCTTGGAGATGACCCACAGCTGGAAGTCCTTCACATTTCCCTGAGCGAGACAGAGACAAAAGATGGTCAGAAAAAACAGAGAACACACTCCCTCTGATGAGAGATTAACTTTAAGGATAGGCAGATATGACCAGGAGGTTGGCAGGTGTGTTCTTAGGAATCATAAAAGGAATTATATAACACTATTTAAAATTACTATTGTATTCTTTACATAATTGAAACTATCAAATAAATAATGCTGCAGGAGCAGCAGATTCACTCACGATGATGCTGAACTGCTGCAGGGCCAGTCGGATCACCTCATTGGTTGAATCCGAGTTGCTGACCGGGAGCGTCTTGGTCTGATGGGGAGAGAAGGACATGCTGACTTATGTGGTGTAGAATCAACAGAGACAATTGATTACATCTGGAATCTGCATTTTTATTAAGACGAAAGCTTGGATCAAACATCAGAGTAAACTTACAACAGCAAAAGTGTTGATTCCCTTCCCGTACACTCTGAGAGGAATGGTTTTGGGTTCCTCCCTCTCTTTCTCTTCTCTTATGCGACTGCGGAGAGAGGAAACAGGACGCGTCACGCCTCCCTTCTCTCTACACCTCAAGTGGACGCGCTCCACGCTGATGCGCGATGGCGAGCGTTACCTTTTCAGGAGGGCGAGCCATCTGTCCTTCAGTTCCGCCGAGCTGAGCGGGAGCACAGAGGAGAGGTCACGCACACCCATTTGACGCTCGGGTTCAAGCACGATTCTGCTCATTTGGCCTTTAGGACCTGCAAACACATCTACAGCCTGTGTGTGTGTGTGTGTGTTGGGGGGGTGGTTGTGTGTTACCTAAACACAGCCGCACAGTTACAGGTGGGCCAGCCCATCACAAAGCTCCTCTCTGGGTCCGTGCTCCCCTCACACACCTCGTCCATGCAGTCCGCCGTCCACATCTCGCACGCACACACCTGGGCCTTCAGCTTGAAGTGGTTGGCGGATCTGTGTGACGCAGAGCGCGTTTGTCACTTTCACATTCACTGCCTTAGGGGGCGAGGAGCAGCCAAGATGCTCCTTACTTAAAAGGATGAACACACATACACACACACACACGCTTACTTGGCTTTGGCGATAACCAGCACGTCGGTGAACAGGAAGAGGTGTCGGTCCTGGGTCTGCATGCCGGTCTTCAGCTGGGCGTGTCCGTGGAGAAGGAACGACCTATCGGAGCCACTGAGGAAGGACTGGACCAAGGAGCAGGTCTCTGGGCACACGGGAACCAGGAAGCTCTCTCTGGGACACAAACGCACAGGCATGTTTTATTTTGACTTTAACACTTCAAAAAATATTTGCGTTTTGGTTTCTGTGGAAACTGCACCAACGTGGACTCAGACTCTTTCATGGCGTTGAAAGACTACAGGTTGATCCTTTAAGGGACACTATAGATATGCACACGTGTACCTCAACTGTGTAAAACCACTTTGATGCGACGTTGTTTAAAACAACTTCTTACTGCGTTTCCCAGAGTAGGTGACTAATGCTAAGCAGCTGCTAACCCGGACGTCTCTCTTTATAAGGAGATGTTTCAAGGTTTATTTATCTGAGGGCATGTTTGTTAGTGACGTCGCCGGCGTCAGCTCCTCTTTTATTAGGGTTAGGTTCTCTTCCCCTTCAGCCCTCCGTCTCTCTCCCTCGTCAGCGAGTACGACAGCTTCCAAATACTGATGTTTCTACTCAGCTCAAAGGACCCCTGCACTCTTCGTTATGTAAATTGTGTTACGGAATTGTGAGTCACGAGTGCAGTACGGGTTCAGGGAATCTGCAGCTGTCAGAAATCCGAATCTGAATATGAAGCCGGGTACTTTAGCCAGAAGACACCAGTCCAATGGATTACGGTTAGAAAAAGTGGTAGAAACTACAACATTTACATTTTAGAAAGAAATCTAAAACAGTTGGATGCAAATGATGTGGATAGATAATTGAATGTATCAGCATATATTGTGTTTAGTCCACTCTTTAGTAACAGTGAAGAGTTATGCCGTTAAACAGAAACCAGCATGTGGCGGCAGTGATCTGGGGGAGGGGGGGCTTGTTGTTCGTCGAGGTGCTACACCTCTGTAGGTGCCTTTTAATGAGGTTACTTCTTCTTCCCTTTCCCAGTCGGTACACTCCAAGACAGTCCTATTAATAGACGCCTGATCCTCTAATGAGACTGGTTACTGCAGGATTATCTATGCGAGGCGATGGAACACCTCCCTCCGGGTCGAGCCTGATGCGATTGTTTGCGTTTGTGTGTTGTCCCGAGGAACCGCTATGCGTGTCGCCGTACCTGGAGAGAGTCTTGGACCTGGTCAGCGCTTTGGTGATGACCAGCGACGGGGCCGACTGGCGCCGATAACTCTGAGACTTCATCCTCTGCCGGGGGAAAAAAGAAGAAACAATAAAGTCCATCCGAATCAAAATGCTGTCTGATCGCTGCCTTATAAACATCGATATGTTGAAATTGGAACAGACACAGTCCCTCTGCAGCATGTGCTTGCGGTGGCCGACAATTCGAATGTTTTGGATTTATTATGGCCAATATTACTACTACGACAGCACAAGCAACATGTATCTAAAATATTACTCTTCTCAAGCATTTAGATAGACATAAATTTAACTCTGGTTATTTAACGTAACTTTAACACTCCATTAATCGTTCTTTTGGGATTTTACACAAAAACAATTCAAAGGGAATTCCTAGTAGCAGTTTGTAGGATATTAGGTTATATATTGGTAGAATATAATATCCACAACTATGTTTTTATTAGTTTGGAATCACTTAGTAAGAAATTGTGTTTCTATGAGCTCTAAACCATTTATATCTACAGAGGGAAATGGGAAAGTTTCTACGGTGGCCAAGAAAGGACAAACCAAACACTATTGGTACTCCATTGCGAATTTTTTAAACTTTTATGTCACCCAAAGGCCACCGTGGAAACACTGCCCTGCATAAGGCTTGCGTCCCACAAAGAGAAGGGCACATAAGTTGCCCACCCCCTCCCCCATGTTCGGGGCATCCAACGCTCCGTCGGCCTCCACCGGGAGGCAGGTTGGAGTTTTTAAACACGGAGGAAAGTGAGGACTAGCCGTGGGACAACATGCTACAGTCCGCATTGCCTGAATCCGCCTGTGACTTGACACTCCTGACCTCGCTCACTACTCCGCCGGCTTAGTGTGTGTGTCCTTATGATTGTGGTGCTGCAGCAAACACATATTTTATAGCTACAAAGACAAGTTTCTTTTAAGAATGAAGCCGCCGTACCCGCATATTGAGATGCTATTTCTCTTTACCTTGATTCCATTGTCCTAGATTCCCCCACGCGGGTCACTAAAGGTTCATTCAATCTAATTGAAGACGGATTTGCGAGTGTGAAGCAAGGTGATAAACCAGGGTTACGTAAGCTCAGATATTTCATTGTGTGTCAGATTAACCCACTAATACGTATTGTGTGGTGAGTCGGGTGACGAGGTAAAGCAACCTTTAAGGCTCAAGTCGGTGACCTCACAGCTGCTTCTGTTACATTTGTCAATCCAACAGAACAGGGACACGTTGGGCACAAACTATAAGCATGTTGGTGGTTTACGTACATCTGGATTCTTTTGGGGGAGAAGCTTTGGGGGGAGGAGGGGGGGGGGATCAGCTCTCAACTTTCTTGCAGGATTTAGCATTGTTTGGAACTTGGGCTGCCAGCAAACTTTATATATTTGAAAAAGTCGGCTGAATTTTTTCCTCTATGGTTTCCTTCGTCTCTTAGCAGATTTAATGTTTTCTTTTTAATGTTTAGATGCCTGAAATATGTGATTACACAAGTCTAAGGAGGTTTCCTTCAGTAGGATGTCCCATCTCATCCTCATCCTGAGGGAAACATGTAGATCTATTTAATAGTTGTTGGGATCCTTTTGTCTGCGCCCAAAGCGATGGGACCAACTGAATGACGGCACAGTCTCCACGCTGTCTGCGAAAAAGTTTCACTCCAAAAAGAAAAAAATCAAAAGCTCCACAGTGAGAAAGGATCAATCCAACGTCCACGTAGTTCTGACCTTTCACAGTGTAATATCGGTGGTTTAGCGGGGTCACACAGCGGTGAAACATTCCTTTTACTGCAACCTTTCACTACTAAAAATAAACATAAGCTCACGTGTAGTTATGGAATTTGTGTTGGGAAACAAACCGAACTTCAAGGGATTTAAACTAATGGAAACTGCTACTACCAGCTGCCGTATTTGAACCAAGAACTTTGAAAATATATCATTAACTGTTGTTGTCTTAACTGTTCATGGGATTTGGGTTCATCCAAAAAAAAAAAAAAAAAAGGAAATAACTCATAACTTCATATAACTGCATAACTCGAGTTTGAGAAGAAATCTGAGAACCAGATTGACGTCGTTGACAAGTGACTTAACAAAGTAGCAAACTTCTCATTTGAGAAGCTGCAACAAGCACCTTTTTTCATTTTTGCCTGAAAAATAACCGTTTTCAAAACAATGAAGTTGTATTAACTCCTCCACAGGACGACAGTTATCGACAAACTGCTGACTGGATCCAACTTTTTAAACAACAGTTATGATACATTTATACACTGTGATAAGGACGCATTAAATATCGTCACCAAGCATTCATTTTTGTTACATCATTCAGAGACACTTGAGGCATTTTATCTGTTAATAAATACATTTCTTTTAGAATCTCCTTATTTCTGCTGACAGCAACATTAAACTGTAATCAGTCATTTGTGAACTTATTATGTTTTGGGAGGTGATTCCACTAAAACGTTAACAAATTAACAAATTAAACTGTTTCACGTTGGTTGTGCTCATGTTGTATTTTCTAAACCATCATCCTAAAGAAAAAAGTCCCCAGTAGTTTGGTGGTGAACTCTGAACTCCTCCCCAGGAACAATTCACTCATTCATACATGCAAGGCAGCCCAAAGACAGACAAAAGACGCAACGAGCAAAGATTTGCTCCGCAGACTGTCTGCGCCTCCTTTGCGCACAACTCTTCAAAACGAAAAGTAGACTTCGCGTCCTACCGGTCTGTTGTCCCGCGGTGCGCCTCTCCGGGGGACGTCCTGTTGCTGCTGCGGAGACATGTTGTCCATCCAGCCGCCGGGCTCACTGTCCAGCCGCCCGCTGCGGATGCGGGTCAATGAGAAATCCCATTAATGAGCTCAGCGTCCCGGAGGAAGAGACCATCGCCGAGACGCGCTCGTTTTTACAGTCGGAACGCGAGCTGCGGGGCAGGGGACAATTAGGACGAGTTTGCAAAGACCAAAGGAGGAGAAAAGCAAAACGGAGTTAATGCAGAGCTGTTAGCGTCTCCTCACTCATCAATGAGAGGCTGTGCTGTGACCAAAGGCCACCTCCAGTGTGGATTATCAGCTACTTCGGCACCTCGTAATGCGTCTTTACGCACAGAAAGGAGGCGGCGCCAATGCGCGCTAAAAAAAAAAAAAGAGAAAGAAAAGAAAACTTAAAATAGGTCCATCTGCTTTTAGCTAAATTGCGCCGCACGTTCAGCAGACAATCTGGATATGTCTGGATTTTGGGGATCTGCATGAGTCCGGTTTTCTTACCAAACTCCGTCATCTGCCCTCGATCATGTTAATATACGAGTCTATCAGCCCGAAAACCACTGCTAGTTGAATAGAAGTGTCCACTGTGGACTTTTAAAGGTTTAGTTTTGTTCCACTGAAAACAAAAACTTTAAAATAGAACATTTATGCTTATATTTGCACTTTCCCTGAAACAAGCCAGCTTGCAGTCAAGGTACAAAACAAATGTTTTTTCAAAAAGAAAGGAATGATTTTTATAATGTAAACTAAGTCTTTCTGATTTTTACCACTACAACAGCACGTTGAGGGTCAAAAAAAATAATAAAAGTAAGTAATTATTTATATGAGTTATCAGAGTAGGCGTGACACCCACTGCCAGAGCATCAGCTCGGGGATCCTCCGGCGGTCTGAAGACACGTTATTAGATTCCAGCGTCTCTGAGAAACTAATGAATAGTTCTTAATGCAATCTGGGCCAAACGCTTCTAATGTAGGACACATTTAAACCTTATATAAAGAGATTCTTCTTTGATGAACTACAAAAGGGACATCATCTTTAACCTGTAAAGCTGAAAGCTGTGAGGAAACATTTCTGATTGATAATTGGATTCATTCAGGACACAAACCCCCCCCTTCCAACTAGAAAAGGAAGGAAATTAGGACTTATTTTCTTGCCCCAAAATCGATTGTCCTTCTGGAAACAGAAGTGGGCCACAAACTGGGCTAAAGCAGAACAAGGCCAGGAAGTGAAGAACAGAGACGTGGAGTATTTCGTTCCCCAGATTGGCCGCAATCAGCCCCGTTAAGAAGTGGATCAAGTCAATGATTACCTTCCCATGGTGTTGGTAATGAACGGCCTTGGGCATGGCACAGAAAAGCAGCGCGCCCCTCCTCGCTGGCTCACGACCTCTTTGCTACAACCCCCCCAACGCAGATACTGTTAAAAGAGAATAAAACCAACAACCAGAACGCAGTGGACGCAGAGACGGAGGATCAAAGCAGGACCATCGGTTACATCAATCAGAAATCACACAGCGGGTTTAGAAATCTTTTTATTTAATGTGGAGGTGATACAATGTGGAGAGACAGACCCGTGGAGTGACACGTTTGTCAAACTGAAAGTGAGGACCTACTTTGTGAGAATGTCAATCAGCGGAGCCACGGCTCTTTTAATTATTCGTGTAGGGACTTACCCATTGCTTTACTGGAGGCAGGAAACAAACCAGACCTGTAAGAGAAGTTACAAAAAAACATCTTTAAATCATTCTGTAACACTGAGCGTGCAAAGGATGCCCCTCGTGTGGAAGTGTGCAAAATATCAAAAATGTCTTTCAGCAAGTACTTAAAGTTTGGAATCTCCAAAGTAGAGAAAATGTATGAAACTACTGAACGGCCGATTTTAAAAGATGTGATCTTCATATGCAGAAGCAAACCTGCAGATTTCATAGCTTTGAGACATCATGTCGACACTTGAGTTCTAAATACATCAAAACATTTGTTTTACTGACATTGTCTTCCAGCATCCAACTAAAAACCTGAAGGAGGAAAAGCCTCTTTTTAAAATAATTGTCAGTGATCAGACGGAAGTACACACATGGCAATGGATAAACCATAAATTGTCTTTAAACTCCATGAATAAAGCCTTTAAATCATCGGGAAGTGACACAACTTCCGTAAGGAGCATCTTGGAATCTCCCTAAATCCCATAAAAACAAATACAACACACACACAAATGCCACGGCCACACACCGGTTTGAGATCGGTGCAAAAGCAGAGTTCCATCTTGATAAACGTCATCATAAGTTAAATCCTCACGTACACTTGATGTGCAGAATACAGTTTACGTTGAGTAAGAAGAAGAGCTTTGTGTGTTTTGCACGAGTGGGGAGGAAACGTAATTACCGGTTCTAAAACGATTCTTGGTCGGGATAATTCACATTGACCGACACGCACAACTCACACCATGAATAACTGAATTCTTTGAAATCAGAGACAAGACTTCCTACAAACGTTTTATTTGTCTTTACCATCACATGATGCCCCGCTGCAGTCACTCTATGACTGAAGAGGCAGGAGGAGGATGTCTGACACAAAGGAAAAAGAACCGTTCTGACAGAACTTCTTGTTTGGACTCAAATTAAAGTCCGATCTAAATTAGTCTTTTATTGAACAATCCAGCTGCGTTAGAAAAGTATCTCCAAGACAACAGTCCCCGTTCACTAAAAAAAATAAAATAAAAAGCAAACCGTTGTTCCGAAAACGTAAAAGGGAAAAAATGTTGTGGATAAACCTTGAGAATGATTGTGGTTTCCAAAGCGTTATCCTGTAGTTCAAATCGATCACAGATCGGGGGGACAAAGATCCACGAGTACCGCGATCAGAGAGGGTTCAAAACCTGCGCCGCTTATTGTTCGGCCCATCGAAGACCCCCCCGACCGGACTCCCCCTCCCTTGGGCTTGAGGGCCCAGTGCGGCCTGTTGCTGTTGTTGTTGTTGTAGCTGCTGCTGCTGTTGTTGCTGCTGCTGCTGTTGTTGCTGCTGTTGTTGCGGCTTTGGAGACTCAACTTCTGGCCGCCCCCCCATCGATCCAGCCTGCGGGTATCGGTCTTTCCGCTGAGGTACCACGGAGTCGGCGTTGTGAGGCCAGCAGGTAACGGCGTACGATGAGACCACGTTTGAGCGTCACGGAGAAACATTGTAGTATCCATAAAAACGGTTTCATCAAGTTGATCAGTCCGGTTTGTGGCCGAACCAAGCCGACGGAGAGAAAGAGGAGACGGACGATTAGTCTATAGTTTATAAACAAAGTCTTCGAGGTTTTTTTTTCCTCCATCTGATTCAAAATAAATTTGACTCCTGTATCCGTTTCAAGAAACAAGTTTAAACATTTCGACTCAGTTCATAACAATACAACAATAATTTAGTTTTCAATGTTAAATATGGACTAATGAAGCTTTATTTAACCCAGATACATTACCATGGCTCTATTCTCTGACATCACTGCGGTCCCCATATTTCCAGCGCCCTCTGGGCCGTTGGCTCCTCCCCGTCCGCTCAAGCCCATCATTTGGCCCTGGTTGCCAGCGGGCCCCGGGGAGCCCTGGTTAAAGCCATCTACACGCAAAGCAACGTGGAGAGTCGGTGGGTCAGAGTGAAGCACCGAACGCACCGCAAAGAACCACGGCCCCTTAGCGCTACGACTAATAGTTCACGACCTCAAAGTCAACGTTGGCTTCTGGTCGACAGCTGATGGGATCATCGGCCCGCCGACAAGGACCACAGGTTAGAATTTGGTATTTTTTTCTTTGCAACTCATTTCAGAAGCACCTAAACGGTAGAATTTATCTTTAAAATTTAGCGGATTGAAGGAAAACCTTTAAAGAAAATGTAAAAAAGGATGTATAAATATGTCAACAATAGAACCAAAGACCAACGTTCATTTTAAGGGGTATAAAATTCTGCCAAAATACATACAAACGTTCATGTTTTACAGATAAGACCCGTTATTGATAATGAGAGGCTCCCATTTTGGACGACTGAACTCTGAGGCCAATGTTCACATCTTTCCTGATTAAACCTCGGATTGCACATCATCTTAGTCGTGGAGGATACGACAGAGACATTCCATTTGTCTCTACATCCACTCCTGCTGTTGTGAAGAAGGTTTGAGACTCTGTACTCATGCATAGATGCAGGTTTAAGGCACTTGTGATATTGCAAAAACATTCCCATGCTTGGTGGCTTAAAAACGTGAATGCAATAGAAGCAAACTTGGGCAAATAAATCATAACGTAAACTAAGCATTAACAAGACTGTAACCATAGTCACATTACAAAATGACACTAATAGCAATGCCATGTCTTTAACGGTAATACCTGAGGGAGACAAACACACGTCCTCTTCTACAGAAGAACAACAACAGAGACCTACAAGAACGATAGCTGACCCCCTTCAGACACATAAAACGGGATGCGACTGTAATTTGTGAAACAATCAAATACAAATGGAACACAATAGTTGTGTCATAAAGATGATGTGCAATCCTTGGTCATAATCTTTGTATGGTGAAGAGCTACTATGCAGCCACCAATCTTTGTATACTTTAACCTCAGACCCCGGCCCCTCGTCCTGCTCTTACGTCCGTTTTCATTAATTATCGAAATAAACAGACCTTTATCTTCAATGAATTCCAGCCAGATTTGTTTTTTTGAGTGCCGTGACCGAGTCTTTTTTTGAAAATGTGCCTAAAAATAGATTTTTAAGGCCACAGCAGCTCATAAATGACTAACAAATTTTAGCACTTAAATTGTATTTATAACGCCACTTATCTATAGCAAATTGTAAATTGGCTTATTTGAGGAAATTGCACTTTCTTGTTCTTCTGAGTTTGTACCCCTATGGTTGAATGCACTTATTGTAAGTCGCTTTGAATAAAAGCGTCAGCTAAATGACATGTAATGTAATAATAAATGTCAAACTTAAAATCACTCAATTTCTAATCTGCATGGAACTGAGGATGAGAGCTCAGGGACTAAAGATCGAACTATGAGACGGCCCCCCAACAAAAACAACCCCTTTATTATGAGTTAGTATACACATTGTATTGTCGTGTGTGTGTATTATGGGTTTTCCTCCTTTGCATTGCTTCCCATGTGACTCCATTTACACCCAAAACATGTGTCAAAAACATGTAAATACATGTGGTTGAAAAAGAGTCACTTGAGATGCAAGGCCAATAGAAGCGAGTAATGAGATAAAGGCAGCAGTCATCATCATGGTCACTCGACCTGATCTTTGCATCAACCAGTCACACAATCATACCCGTACCTCCCAAATTAATGGCTCCACGAGGGCCCAGCTCACCCACTCTCATTTCCTGTTCCTTCTGGAAGAAGTGAAAAAAAGCCTTCAAAACAAAACTCCACTAAAAAGGACAAATCTGGAGCGAATGGGCTGTCATCCAACACTCACGCGGTGAAAGTCGTCATTCACCCACAAAAAAAAACGCTGATAGAAGTCGCCCGCGACTGGAATTATCATCGTTTATGTGGGATGGAAAAGGTCTAACTTACTGCTCAGCTCTGCTTTGTATTCCCATCATTTATCGCTCACAGGAAGCGTAATGCAGTCACAGTGCAAACGGCATTAGCAAGAAGAGGCTTATATTCACATCCAATGATCTGGAGGTGTGCAAACTTTTAATAACTTTGAAGAAATAAGCCACATAAAACTGGCTTCGGGCTATTGTAGTCACACACACACACCACGTTTACAGTATTATTTATGTAAGCATCTCAACTAAAATAAAAGGTCACGGTCCAGACGCACTAAGAGTCGAAAAGGTGCTCCATCATCCATCCATCCATCCATCCCCTGACAATAAACACAAAACAAAATCAATCCTCTTCCACTCGCAGGTTCACATAAACTTAAAAAAATAGTGTCACAGATTTCACAGATTTTCACTTTTATATGGAATTATAAACTCACTTCAATGGTTCACTAAACGATCACGAACATATACATTGTTTGTTTGTGTTGTTGTTTGTTTATACTTACCTGATAAATGGTCAATGTTTTAACTTCAACAAGTGTAGTAGTTGCGTGCTTTAAAAATGCTTCATAATTGTGTCACTAAAATCGATGGCCGACTCATTTAAATATGTCTGACGTCACTTCTAACGGTGACGCCTGAGCTGCAGCTTATACAATCACTAGATGGCAGCAAGTAGCATCTATATTCTTGGAGTGAAAAAAACATTAAATGTTTAATAAATCTCTTAAATGAAAGTTGAAGCTAGCGTGGACTTCACATTAGTGCTCCTCGGAGGGTAAAGTGTGTTTTTTTGTAAATATGTCCAATCACACCAACTGTAATCAACACACACGTCCCTCGGTTTAAAAAGTATCGTTTACTTTTTGAAAGCAACTTCTCATGTGTTCCATTCAAATCGATGTGAGTTAGTTGACTGATTGTTGGCGGTCTGATATCAATCTACAACGAGGAGAGAGAGAAGGATGCTTCTAGATGTTCGGCATGCGCTACGTGCGTGTAAAGATCGCAGACTCCACTGGGACCTCTGAACAGAGCAAAGGATTTGAAGAGAAACGTTATAACACAGAAATCCACAACATGACACCAACAGACACTCTCACACTGGACGTTATGGCACCGAGAATTCACACAAACTGTTTTTGATTATCTAAATACTGATCGGAAGGATTACATAGCGATTAAATCCACTCACGAACAAAACTATCCTTTCTACTCATCCGTTACTGTAAAGCTCCGTCGATTGTTTCCTTATGCTGTGAATAACTGTCGGACTGGCCGCTACTATTCAAAATGTCCAACCACCTTTACCGGTAAAGCCACCAAGACGACAACATACGTGTTCAACAGGGAAAATAATGAGGAATACAAATTCCTCAAAACTTACAGGAGACAACTTGAGCTCCTCTAGAAAAGTCTGGAAAAAAACACATTTATAGAACCGAGAAAGAGCGACTATACAGTGATAACTTGCTTCACCCAAATACATAAAGGTGCCACAGCTAATCCCTGATCTTTGATTACGGGCTCATTTATTAATACGTTGTTTTTGTTCAGGTAATGGAAAAAAAGGCCAAACTTGTACATTTTTTGACTGGATAGGTTTGCAGTTCAGAAAGAAAGACCAGTAGAAATGTGAGGTTTGTTCCTATGTTTGATTTATCTTTGTTTAATTATTATTATTATTAATAATAGCATATATTATCAGTATCTGTCCCATCGCATTTGACACAATGAACCACAGTATTACAGTGATGTGTCACGATTGCTTTACTCTCCTGTCTATACTGTACAGAGATGTTATGAAACGTTGTCTCTTTCAACATCACCGAGATCTGCAAACCAAACTACGAGGGACTAAGAAATCCCTGCTCAGCAACACGGGTCAGTCCAGCTTCTGCTACAATGTAGGAAAAGCAAAAGCATCCAAAATGAAGAAACAGGCTCGGTGCTGACCGAAAACTGGGCTCTAGTTAGAACACAATAGTGTTCTCAGGGGGCTTATTTTGGTTTCATTACACTTTAAAATAAGATTTGCCTTAATGAGATTAAAAAATATATAAAAGTCAAAGACAAATAGCTGAGGATTGCGTAGTGGACTACAGACTACAATACTGCTTAGGTGTTAAGTATCTACAACACACAAGCTTTGTACACACATGCTATGATATTTAGTATTAAAGATGCTTAACACACGACTCACCCGACAACTTTGAGTCTGTGAGGGTTGTGACAGCAGGAGGTTAACTGGACAAGCTTTAGTGCATCTCACTGCTTTTATGTATCCCAGTTGAACTCACATTATCCCCGTAGTTTGGTTTGAAGCCATCTGGGTTGTGTCTCAGGTCCTCCTGTTCTCTGTGTCTCATCATCTCCTCCTCTCTCCTCCTCCTTTCATCTTCATGCCTGCAGCCAGAGAGGGAAAGCAGCAAATGGTCAAATAAAACACAACCATCAAAGTTCTCCCTCTGTCCTCCTGATGGTTGGCTCGGTAAAGGACAAGAACCTCATCTCTATCTGCTTTCTTCTCTGCAGCTCCTGGTTGCGGAGCTCCTCTAGTCTCCTCAGCTCCTCCTGACGTCTCATGAGATCTGAAAGGAGAGAGGAAGACGACATTAGTGAGACAGATTGGCCATATGCCGTGACCAGCAGTGTGGAGACGGTCAGACTGCGATTGTGCTCCTAAATAGGACGGTGTCAGTAGTACACTCAGGCGTCCCCTACCATGTCTCATTAACATGAGCTGATGTTCATGTTTGGCAGACTCCAGCTCAGCCTCCAGTTTCCCCTGTGCCTCCTTGATGTTCTTGTCCACCTGCTCTCTTTGCTGTTTCTCCATCTCATGAAGAGCTCTCCAGCGAGACGAATACTCAAACTCAAACGTCCCCGGCTGAGCAAAATGGGGCTTCTGCTCTCGTTCCCTGGGGAGGCAAACAGAGCAAAAAAACAACAAAAAAACAACCCAAAAAGGAATTACAACTCTGGTTGTTCAATGACCAAGAGAAAGACCAAGCATGGGAGTTCAAAATGTTAAACTCAAACCCATCTTAACTATGAGATTACAACAAATCCTCATTTTACTTACTTATAGTACGCAGCAGACTTCTGCAGTGACTTTTCAGGCTGTCCGTCCTCGTTATCGAAGTGCTCCGAAAGCTCCACGATGGCCGGACACGGCGTCCTGAAGGAAAGGGGGACAGCAACGAATCAAACCTCGGATATCATATGAAAGTGATTGACAACGGATCTACGCGTTTCAGCGGATGCGGGAATGAGATGAGAAAATCGTGCGCCTTCACTTCACAACACCCATCGTGCTCCCTACGTGGTCAGCAGCAGCGCTCCCTCCGTGCAGCGCTCCAGGGCTTTGCGCGCAGCTGCTTTGTTCGCCAACTCCACGATGCCTCTCCCGGTGGGGCGGCCGCGGTCGTCAGTCACGACGACAGCCCGTTCCACCAGCCCGAACTCGGAAAACGCCTGGCGACAAGAGTGTTGAGTTTGAGACTACATGTCACAGCGCAGCAATAAGCAGATTCCACAAAAGCTGCAGAAACAGGGAGGAGACTTGATCAAAACAATGCCGATCCTGGGCAATATCTGAGCTTACCTGTTCCAGCAGCTCGTTTGTTACCGAAGGCAACAGGTTGCGCACTGTGAGGGCGGCGGTATGCGTGGCAAAGCTGACCCTGATCTGTCGATTCTTCAGAACACTCCCGTCCAGCTCGGCCTTTGCAATCTCTGCCAGCGTGCGGGTCTCCTGGAAGACACAAAAAGGATGACACCACCACGGGCGGGAGGATGGAGGAATCCATATGGCCCGTAAAATACACTTCATTGCGATTCTCATCTTGTCTTTTAGCTATATAAACTGACGAAAATTTGCACTTTTCACCACTATAACAACATGACAATTGGTCCACGCAAGGCGGTGTGTCATCACCCACAATGCAATGTGACATCCTCACAGTTCAACATGAAGGCAATTGGGAAATATGAGAAATGACTAAAAGTTACTTGTCACAATGTGAAAATAACATACAAGTGTTCATACAAAAGAAAGAGTCGTTAAATGTTAGACACTGTTCGATATGAATGGGTGTCAAGGCAACAAGCACCGCGTGCTAATGCTAACATAGCTAGCTCCTCTTAGCAAGGAGTTTCTCTCCTTATAACGTTATATTAAAAAAAACATGAAGTTAGCTTCAACCTGTAAAAACAACACATTTCAACAGCATAGTTAAAAAAAATAGCGTTACATCATGCTCACCAAGCGGATAAAGCCGAACCCCCGGTCCCTGTTGATGAAAACCTCGCCGATGTTCCCGTACTTGGCGAACATGTTCCTCAGCTCCTCCTCCGGGATGTCCGCCGGGAGGTTTCCGATGAAAAGACGTGAGCGCTGCGTGAACGTCTTCTCGCCGGGCTTCCGAAAACTCTTGATATCCAAGGTCATTTCCTCCCGTCCCTCTTCGACTCCTTCTCCTTCTCCCCCGGCTCCTTCGGCTCCCTCGGCCGCGGGGGACTGCTGCTGCTGCTGCGGCGGGCTGTCTTTGTTCGCCGGTGACGGAGCGGCCGGGGATTCGCTCCCGCTTTTCACCGGTGGAGGAGAACTGCCGCTTTGCATAGTCGCCTGGTGCACATTCCGGTTAGCCATACTTGGCCAAAGCAGTTTATGGGACGGTGCCCGGCGGTAAAAATGAAACTAACTTCGTAGGAGAAGGCTCGTCGCTCCACTGTTGCTGGTGCACACCTCCTGAATTTCAAAGATGGCGGTGACTGCGCACGCAACTTAACATTTGGATCCATTCAGGGGAGATCGGATATTTGGGAAATAACTGGACTTTTAAATACAGATGGAATGCACCGAATGCTCACGTTTAAGAGGCTTAAAACATCCAAATGTATATATTTACAAATAATCCAAAATAAGCGGCAGAATCAATCGATGTGAGTTGCTGAGGATGGACTAATTGATGTATCAACTCAACATAGATTCATGTTGTATAGTATAGTAGTTTTCTGTCTGTTTCTTTTTCATCTGAGCAAAGTGCAAGTTTAGGAGGAGCTTGCTGAAATGATGCTATTCCCAGGGTGCGCTCACCATCTGATACCACCGCACATCTGCGTGCATATTCCTCTGTCTGGGATATGCTTTGCTCTCCGGTCGGGGATCGTGTATCCAGAGAAGTCTGAGGAGTCTGTGTGAGTCCGCATGTGTGTTTCACTCACATGGAATGTGAATGAGGAGGAGGTTGTAATTAGCCCACAGCAATAATGCTCGCTCATTATACTACAGATAAGAGTTGTTGTTTGATCTCTTCAGATCCCGAGCACAACCCTGCAGCATTCATTTTACATATCTGAAATATCTTTGTGTTCATTAAAATTAATTGTGAGTTTTAAATCACTGTATTTAACACTACGATATAGTGCTATACCTGCAGGAGGTGGAGCCAATTCCTAAGACTTTATATGTTGGATGGTTTGATCTTAAAATGCATTCAATTTGAAACAGCAGTCATACGTTTTGTGTGGAAAATCTACATCTGATAAATTGTAGTGTAGAATAAAGTAATCCTCGGTATTTGCCTCAATCAGTACTTGAAATACAATAATTAAAAAATAAATCACCACCGGGTTTATAAGGACCATGTCAGATCACTACTTACTGATCTGATCATACTAATCAGAGAATATTATACTGGTCCAGATGTAGTGTTGTTTACGGGACTAGCGTAATAGTGACGTAACAGTGACGTTGCAGCACCCGCCTCCCTCGGCTCCACTGAGCAGCGCAGTAGTTTCTCTGATTTTCATCAGCGCTGCAAGTCTCCTGCGGATTTATCGGGGAAATACATCGGGTAAGTGGAAGTATGAAGTAAATCTAGTGTTAGTGCGTGTGTAAGAATTGACGCATCAGTGTAACCTGCGCGAATTTCATGTTGATCAAGGATTATGCATTTTTTGGGGATTCTCAGAATCCACTTGAGTGTTTGTAGCTGTATTACACTGACTTGTGATTATGGGGGCTGTCCAACAGGACTGTGGTACAGGTTTATTTATGATGGGAAAATCAGAATACTGGGTTATTCCATTTATTCTAGTTTATAAATTAGAGTAAAATGTGGTATTTCAATTTCAAAATGATCAAATCCGCTGCCGCTTAATTTAAAGGTAAATATTGCGGCTTCATTTTACTTCACAACAATAATAGCAAACTACTTTGCATATTGTTATTGCATAAAAACATATATGAGGCAGCGTCATTGATATAAATACTCACCTCAACCAAATTCAACATGAAAATACTGCTTACACGTATACAGCTGACTGACAAAATGATTGACAACTATTACGTGAGAAGATTGGAGGCATGTTTTTTTTTTTCATTTAATTGTCCTTAACTAAATATTTGTGTGGGGTGGTTCCATCCAGGACGTCATGTTTAGCTCTGTAACATTTGCCCGTTTATTTTTTATAATTGCTTTATTTTTCATGGATTTCCTCATTTATTTTATAATTAAAATAGTAATCTGCAGCTGGATGTATTGCCAGCTCAGACTGTGTCCATGTGTCCATTGGGAGTCTGAACTTTAACCATAATAATACGAAGGTGCTCCAGTCAGGGAGCAGAATTTGACTGCTGGAATTTCTCCGGTGCAGTCATGTATGTCCGGCCTCGATGTGGAAGTGAAGCACATGAGCAGCAGTCTGACAGAATTTAAGCCTTTGCCGCATGTGTCTGGTCGGTAGAACTGAGCTGCTGGATACCGGCTGAACCTCAAAGGCAACTCTGGTGGCCTGACATGTTGTGTTCCTTTGACACGCATCACCGACCCAAAGTAATTATCCCTCATCTGGTTCACATGTGTCGTTTCTTTTTTAAGATTTATGGAAGCCCGGGACACTTTTTTCCCCTTCGTATGACTATAAACGCAGGTCTGATCAAAAAATATTTTCTTCTAAAAATGTCGATGTGTGCATGCCATGCATTCCATTTTGATGGGTTTGCATAAGGCTGATTAATTTGTCTGCTTCAGTACCTGTCATCAAGTGTTCTATAAGTTTCTAAGTGTGCCCGAGCGAGACACTAACGTCTAATGCATACATTCATGTGTTTTGAGCGTTAAACTATACAAAAAAGTCAAAAAAAACATTGCCCGTTGTGATTTACGATGGAGATGGCTTTCTCGATTATATCTACAGTATTTTGGGTCAGTCGTGTTTCTTTTCAGCCATAAATCGGTTTTCTCTGACAAGGAATGAGCGCAGCACTGCCTGGGGACACAACGCGTTCATAGCTTCTGTTACCTGAACAGTGTTTTCTTGGGGAATAACTTGCCTTTTCTATTTACAGAAAACGCAGTTTAACCCCATGACCTCTGATGACTGGTTTATAGCAGTGCAGGTAGACCGGACTTATCTCTGGTATGAAGAGTTCACAGGCAGGGTCACCAGTCAGACCGTATTCCAACCGTAATTCTCCTTTTTTCTCGGGTAAAAGAACGAAACATGATACTAAAGTTTAGACGGCCTCATCACCACCGAGCCAAAATTACAGCCCAGAACAGTGTATCAAATGATAATGTCAACTTTCTGCTGACTTTATCCCCTGTTGTCAGGGGTGACAGAAAGATTTAAAACCTGCACCTCCTTCAGATTCTTTCAGCGCCGCGACCTGGAGGAGCAGGTCGGTGCTGATTGAACGCAGAGAGATATAAACCCCCTCCAGTTGTAATGGGGAGACCTAATCCCTGCACTTCAAGTTTTACTGGAGGCCAGGCCCGGAATCTCTCAGACAGCTCAAAGCCGGGGAGCTGAGCTCAAGTTTTCCTTTCAGCTTAGGGAATATCATTATGAGCTCTACAGTAAAGCACCGGGGCGCTGAGGACAAACTTAATGAACGTGAACCCTTGGATTGAAAGACTTCCCTCAATGGTGTAACGTATATCTTTTAATTAGGATGCGTTTCAAATCAATTCAAACAAGTTAGCACAGAAGCTAAAGAGCAAAGGAATTCTTTGCACATATATCGGGTCTCAAATGTAATGTTGTTTAATTTCTCATAATTCCGTTAATCATTTGGTCTGTAAACTGTCTGTCGCTTATCAAATTTTCTTGTTTTGTAAAAGCGATGGTCCAAAATCCAAAGGTATTAAGTTTAATATGATAAAACACACAAGGAAACCAGGTCATTTTTCACATTTGAGAAGCTCATATGTAAAAAGCTCAAACCCACCATTTTCTCTATAATAATAATGTACGCATTACAGTGACTATAGTCCCACTCTTAAATATTTCAGAAATGTCCTCATCGTACATAATTGTGCCTGAACAGATTATTATTTTCTTTAACCAGAGCAACAGAACCTTTAGAGAATGCCGTGCACAGCATTGTACAGTATGGTCGTTCAGCCTGCAGCCAAGGCACGGATCAATGTTATTGGAGCGTGCATAATGCTAAGAAAACAAGCATTTATAACCACACAGGCACATAGCACTTTGCCTCAGGAGAAAAAACACAAAAGGGAGTCAGAGGCATCTGAACTCAACGCTGATCTTTCACCACTGATGTCAGATCAGGGGCGAAACCAGGTCATCCGGTGTGTAATTCACTGACTGGCGTCTCAGTGAATCTTAAGAAGAGCATTTGGAAGAAAGTGTCCGTCTTGGAATGTCATTTAACACTATTGGAAGTCCTTAAAGGAATCACAATGTACAAATACAGCCTCTCAACGTAATGTACCAAAGCCGTAGAATATTTTCTTACATTACAGTCAACAGAACTTTTCTTTAATAGAAACAAATCTTTCTTTAAATCTTTATAAACAAAAGCCATTCAGAAAAGCTGTGGGATGCTGTGAATGTGCCTCTAACCTTGAGTGACCGTGGAGCGACGCACATCTGGTCTGAATGGGGCTTTTCCCCTGTGAGGAAACCTGCTGTCGCGATCAGTTTGAAAAGGAGTCGGAGTAAAAGACGATACACACACTGACTTGAGTTTGTGGTTATAACGGTCGTCCTCCTGCGGTTTGTCTGCTGACCGGCGGGGTTCCCCTTAACGTCTAAATAATGAAGTGAGCTCACAGCGTGAGCGGCACACACAGCTGATCCCTTTCATAGACTAATTCCTGCTATTATTAGACATTAGCTTCCAGACTTTTGTTGTTTACGTTCATTTAAAAGGTATCCACATGCTCGTTTTGCGGATTCTTACATCTGAGAACACGTATTTCAGCCGCTCACAGCCCCGTGTCTCTCCCACAGTGCATGAGGGCACTTTGGGCCCAATGATGGAGGCCTGGCCGACAGTGGCCTGGGTGCTGCTCATGACCAACGTTGCTGATTTGCTGAAGACGGTCCAGTCCCGGGACTTTTCCCTGACGGACATCATCCTGCTGCATCCCTCAAGTAGGAGCGCTTTTACTGCAACTTGCAATGTTTTTAAGCGTGAAAACATTTGTGGAAACCCAATTTCTTTCTAGGATTCTAACATGTTCAAAATAACGGGGTCATGGCACAAACGATGTGGGAACAGAAAGTGTTTGAGCTCGGTGTGTGTGTCTTTGAGAGCCACAGGCTTTGTCTTGAGATTGAAAAGTGTCTGAGCCGGAGAACTCTGGCTCGGCCGATTCCCAGTGTAGATGTGATTCTCACCAATGGTAAAGTCCAAAAAGTGTTTGTTGGATCTTTGTGTCGGAGCAGTTTAGTAAACAAATTATTCAGACATATCGTCTGGAAGATCAATCTTCTATGTAAGAACCAAACATCCGCTACGTGGGTCGTGAGAATGGTAAACAATGAATAAGTGAAGGGAACCATTGGTTTGTGGACTACCGTCTTGATGCCTCAGTTTTGGCATTTCGACTGTTGCCATCTGGGTTTTTGGAAGCCAAACTGACCATATTTGGACAAGTAAGCACAAGGTCCGCTAAGTTAGCAGCTAGACCTAGTGCTACCTAGCTAGCTTTCCCGGCAAGGCTTCATCCGTAATTGACATTATCTGTGATTTTAATTGCAAAGTCTGGATGGAAGAAAAAAAACTACAACTAAAATTAACGTAGCGGAAAATATCAGCCTTCCGTTATTTTCTTCTCCAGTCTCTTTTACTAAATTCCCCATAATTTAAAAATCAACACATGCCGTATTGGAGAAGACTTTTGAGCAATTGAGACTGTGGGAATAAGTCATGTCTTCTCAAAGCCTTTTACCCAATATTATTTTTCAAAGGCATCGCCCCCTAATGGCCGTTAGTAAGAATGCAGCTTCGAGGCACTTCCCCTTTGACCTTTAGACCCAGCGGTTGCCCCTGGCTTGGCACAGTTTCAGCACATTCCACTCATAGGCAAACAACACACAGCAGCTACAGCAGAAGACGAGGTCAGCGAGGGGGGACGGCACTGTCGCACCAATCGCGAAACGAGGGTTGCCGGTGGACACCGTCCCAATCAGCTGCTGTGAGAGAACCAGAGCATTAGGGATCCTGTCCGTCTAACTTGACCTCCCAACAGCCGTTCTCTTCATCACAAAGTGCCGTCTCTCCCTCCGGCCGTCACATCTAATGTGGTGCAGGTCGAGGAAAAGGCCGCGAGTGGTTCTTTGCCCTCTTCAGTCTAATCACTAGTGTTAACAGAGACGTCCTGCAGCAAAGCCTTTAAACTCTTCCCTTTGGGGCCGCTGCCACTGGGGCTGAGTGGAGGGTTCATTTTCAGGGCCTTTTTGTCCCGGGTGGATGTGAGAGAAGTGCTTGGTTAAATTAGTATTTAAATTCTGCATTAATTCCAACGGTCTATTAAGGGCAGAGTACTGAAGTCTGTTTGTCACAGCGACACCTCATCCCGGAGGTTTCAAGTGCTTCACGTGCGAAGACGCGGCGGACAACTACGAGTGCAACCGCTGGGCGCCGGATGTCTACTGTCCGAAAGGTACGTGGACGCGATCTCGTTCGTTTTCAGCCCCACCGAGCTCAATGCAAACTTACTTCTACAAAGAAAAAAAGTAGCGAAAACAGCCCTGAAGTGAAGGTGTGCGATGTGTCCAGACGCCAGGTACTGCAGCGTGCGTCACGTGATGGATAACCATGGCGACAGTGTGTCCGTGACCAAGCGCTGCGTGGCCCTGAAGGACTGTCTGTTCACCGGCTGTGCTGACGTCCCCGATGATGGCCATCAGGTGAGGGGAGGTCGATTCTCAAGTCTCGGGGAGAGGGGTACGAATGTTTTAAGTCTCCTGAAGGTTTCGGTCTCATCCGGCAGATGTGCTCGTCCTGCTGCGAGGGGAACATCTGTAACGTGCTGGTGCCGAGGAATGCCAGCAACTCGGTCTTCTCCTCGACGTCTCCTCTGTCGAGCTCCAGCAGAGGGTTTCTTCCTGCAACGCAGAACTTCTTCACCATCACTTTCATGGGATTCTTTACAGCTGGACACTTTTGAGAGGGAAACTGCATCTGTGTCAGATCCAACTGAAGGACACTTTTTTTAGGAAGTGAAACAAAAAAAATGTATTCAAACATTTACTTTTATTATGTTGATTCTAGTTGTTATAAATACATAAGGATATTTCATAAACCATCATGAAAGGCAACACAAACATTTTTTTAACTTGAGGTTTGACCAAACAAAACATCACTGCTGCAAAATCATTCCTTCAAATTTGTTTTCCTTCCCTTCCTCCTATTTGGCAATTTGCTGAGGCTTTTGTTTATTTATTGTAACCGCATTAATGTTGCCATGCTAATGTGTACACTGAGGTTTTGTCAATACTAAATCGCTCGGGTAGTCAGTGCAGTTAACGTTTTTTTTGTGATTTTATTGATTTACAAGAAATGCGGATCACTGACAAATGGACCTGAAATAAACAAACCCTTTGTACATACACATCATTTGTATATTATACGATAACAATGTAGAGAATGTTGTTACACGAGAGGCCGGGTTGGTTCACCGCTACGCGCTGCTCGGTTATAACCGACAGGTCAAAGAGGGATTCACAACGGCCCAATGACACTAAACGCTGACCAAACACCCAGAAGGAGACACCAGACAAGAGAATTGCGTTGTTACCTTTAACTTTCTCTGGATGACAAGCATCGTCAAGTCAAAGGTAAAAGATTCAGCTTCTCTGCTGTAACTCCAAACCACCACTTGGTGGAGACAAAAACACGCACACAAGCTGAACAAATGCTCAGTGAGACGAACGTCTGACTGGATACTTTGATGCAGAGAAAAATAGCGCTCTGTTGGTGGAGCAGCTGCCGTTGTGCCGAGCGTCACGCTCACAGATGATTTAACAAAACTGAGGAAGAGATGTCGAATGAGGCCGTATATCTTGTGAAAACGTGTCGGCCAGCACTACATTTGTTTCAGACTCAGAAATACCAGATGTTCTTTGCTGCTTTCAGCAGACAAATCAAACGGAAGTACAATTCTACTCCAAAGAGAGGATCGAGTGGTGAATTAATCGACAATAATTGGCCATGAATAATATTAATTCTAAATTCTCTTTTCAATGCGTAGCCTGAAACTTTACTTTCTTATTTGAAAGTTATATTTAAAACCCAAAACCAATTTGAAAACAATGATGGCCCGGTCAGGTCCTTTTTAAAATATATTAGTTTGTTGGGTTACTTTAATAATGATTTAATCTGATTCATACAAAAATATACATAAACATAAATTATGTATTATTACTGGTCGTACGTAAGGTAGTTAAATGCATCCTCACCTTTTACAGCAACACCATTAGAGATGTACACATTACATGTTACATGTACACGTATCTAAAATGGGCCATCCTGCATTAGTACTCAGACTTTTGGTAGTTCCAAGTTTACTTTGATAGTTTAAATGTAGGACTTTAACAATGTAAAAGTGAAACATTGAATACTTTTTTCACTGCCTTTTAATTGTCCACTTGTCATTATAGAAACTGTTATGTTGTTGCATATTTTATTATTCACTCTTCATAACGGAAAGTCAATTATCAAGAGGGATAATTCCATTCCCTGAGTACTAGAATGCGTTGATCAATTTGGGAAACACTTCAGCGAAGGAGCACAGACACTCACCGCTTCAGGAAATGTGTGACTGCGGCCTGATGAGAAGTCACTTTATTGGCCCAGCAGTTCCGACGGTCACAACTGCAGTGATTCAAATAAAACCACTTTTTAGATTCTACTCTTCAAACAGCAGATGTTACATGTCGAAAGGCCTCTGAGTTTGTGTTTCTCCCCGACGTAGTGCAAAGTAAGCCGGGTTGACCAGCAGCAAAGTCTACGTTAGAGTCTCAGTCCAGATGTTGTTACTGTACGACAAACTTTTCACAAGCTCCCACCGATACAACTCTGTTCTAACGCTAACAACATCTAAGCTTCTTCAAACCATAAATAAGACTCCTCGTTTGGACACCATTCTGGGAAATAAAAAAGCCTATTCCTCATCCACGATCACATTTGAAAGTCCTTGTAGTCTCGCGATGGCAGAACTGTGAGCGGGTGCGTTGGTGAAAACGGTCCCCACAAACTGAGGCGTTCCTCTCAGGATGTGACGTATAACTGTGCAAGAGCCAGACACTTCGATGTGGAAGCCCAAGTCTCGTAGTTCCTCCTCCGTTCGCAGTTTGGTTTGACTGGATGGAGACGCAAAGAACTGTCAGGGGAACAAGAGGGGGTGTAAACATGGAGACAATTCGCCGTTAATGCCAGAAATCCCCCGCTGCCAACAGTAACTCACAGCTTCTCCCGTGGTCGGGTCGATGAAGTCGGCCCAGTAGCCGGCAGTCCACAGAGCGAAGCACATTTCCTTGGCGCCACTCACAAACTGCAGTGAGGAGAATACGCTAGTCAGTAAGCCAAAACATTACATAACATCTCTCAACTGTACATACACACACACACACATATAAACAGGACTCACTTTGTGCAGCAGCTGGTCTTTGTCCGGCTCGGCTGCCTCCTCACACTGACCGTTACTCTGTGTCACCGTCACAACTGTGATGGAGGAGGTGGGCGCCGTGGGGAACATGAGCTCGAGATCTGACAAACAAACACAAATAGAGTTCCGTTACTTCAGGTTAGTTGGAGTCACCGTACAAGACGAGTCAATGCCAAGTGATGGTACCGTACCTTTCCTGAGCAGCTCGGGGCAAGAATTTATGGAGCAGTCTGTCTCTGTCTGATTAAAGTACTGCTCAGCTTTATGGACTCTTGTGTTTATTGCACCCAGGTTACCCTGATGAATGAAAACCACCCACACAAAATAAATGAGAAAAATACATTAAACAAAACAACATAACCTTAGTGTCCTCTATGGTACATATATATAATATATATTCAAAAACTTACTTGGAACTCGTTAACAAACTGGGCCAGTATGAACTGGTGCCTCTCTGTGCAGCTCGTGGCCGTGAGTACATCCGGCACCGTCCTGTGGACCGGGGTCTTCTTCTGGTTCTCCGTGCCCTCCAGGTGGCAGTCGAACCCGACGTTACCCGGCAACTGGAAGCGCTGGTCCTGCGGTCCGAACGGCCCCATGTTCTCGTCAGGCCACACGGTCCTGGGGCCTGCAGGAGTCGTGACAAAAGAGGACTTTATATTTCCCTACAGATCTAGATCAGAATAGTTACGAGTATAGTCCCATTTACCAGGAACTGGTGACCAACTCCTTTACCATTGGACTCACCCGAGTCTGTGTGTGATACGGCTACATAAGGTTCATCTGAGCTAGCAGCGGAGAAGGTTCTGGTTCTGCCGACACGGAGGGCAGCTAATGCTTTACTGCCAGGAGTCTTAGACAGGACCAACCTGCTGCGACTACACAGCACCTGTACAGGAACAAAGACATTAGTTAACATCTGGGAGCGGTTTACTAATGCCCACTTAATAAACAGGTGAGTAGCCTGTCCTTTAAGTTACAAGCACGTATTTGTTTTTTAAGGTACATATGCACATTACCATTAGGAATAGCTTGAAATATGATAAATTTGGCAATTGAGCGATTCGTTAAAAATCCAAATTGATACACTTCAGCATGTAAATATTATAAGACAACGTAACACATATAACGGGCATGTTATGTCACTTACACTACTGGACATTGTGGGTCGCCTACTTCTCCCTCCAACTTTTACCTGCTGGGTTTAAAACAGTTAGTTAAACATAGTGCAAAAGAACAAATCAATACGTGTATTTGTCATTTAAAAATAGCCAACTAAAAGTTGGCTAGCAGTATGCTCGTATGCTAGCTGACATGACGCAATCTTTCACGGAGGATTTATAGCAGTGACAGTCTGTCTTACACACGCTTCACAGGTAACAAAACGTTTAACGTTAACTTAAAACGGACATACATCGTCTCAGAATGAGTCCGGTTCAACGCAAACCACAAAGTTAGCATTAACGTTAGTTGGAAGCTAACGTTGCTAACACATAGGTCAGCTGACACTTTCCCCTGGTAAGCGGAATTTTACATTTCCTAACCTTGACATGACCGGTGCTCGAGCATACGACCACGTAAATAAATAAATGACAAACATTGGTCAATGTGACAACATTTTGAAAAGTACATGTTGTTCTTACCTCTCGACTTGTACGTCCGCAGCTCTACAAGCGGAGTATCTCGCTGTCGCAAAAAAAAACAACTACGGCAAGCGATGAGGGACAAACGACAAGTGCGCAGTTTGTGTAATATCGCGTCCATTTTATCTGTGACGTAAGTCAAAATTGGGGAATTAAAAGATACTTCGACGAGCACCGTTCCCCACATGACGTTTTTCTACATCGATAGGATGTTTTACAATCAACATCGATGTTTTTGTCCATCAAACCAGAATGTATACGCCTGATGCTAAAGGGCCGTGTCTTCTCATGTATCACCACAAGGTGGCAGCAAGTTGACGGTTAACGCGACCAGTGATTCGATAACAGAAGGAATTCTTTACGTAGGCCTCATAAAGTAGCTTACTAGTAAGTATTTGCATCATGCTTTCTTTAAGATGAGAGGTCATTCTACATAATGTTTTCGCAGGTCTGAACTGTTTAATATAATATCAATATGCAGTATATCAGCACCATGTGCACTGCAATGTCGTGCAAATAATTTAGGCCCATGTCTAAATGATGACATCCTGGGCAGGGAAAGTGCTTTAATCGCTCTTTTACTTGAGTCCCTGAAACGCTAATAACTTTACCATGGTTGACCTCCCAATGATGTCCAGAATCAAAGAGCAAGTGTGTTTACCCTGGGCCCGTCCCAGGTGTGAAGCTGCACACCTGCTCTGCAAAAATACTCTCCCTTGATCAATGAAGTTTTTAAAAAGTACAACAAATTGCCACGGCAACAGCAGTGACATTTGCTTTTAGAAGTCATGAAGGACGAGAACAGCAAAAGTGAATTTTGCTGGCGTGGACACGTCTCTTTATAGCTGACTCGGAAAAGTTGATTGACGCTTTCTCTAAACTGACAGGATGTGCAGTGGGAGTTTGCCCCGTGTAACATGCGTGTGTATTTGTGATGAGGAGGCACGTGGAGCCGCACGGAGCTCGGCTGTCAGCGTGTCTCCCGGAGGATCATTTTTAACAGCAATTGCAGCACCCACCCTGAAAGGAGCCCCTGTGGGACGTACACACTCTCACTCCCACACACACACACACACACACATCTCAAGGCAGCTACCAAAAGAGAATCTTCTCCACAGTCTCTCTTTTCATTGTTGTTCGAGGTGAAAAGAATCAAATGAAGTCAGTGAAATATCAGTGAATGGGAAACATTTTTGAGTATTTTTCAACCTATTTACCAAAATAAACTGACCATTACTGAGTATTAAGTATGAAGTAATAATGCAGGGCCAGTGTCTCACGATTTCTGTGAACATTTCTTTTCCTGGACAGCATGTGACTGGTTTTTCGCAAGTGGAATTCCTCAGTGCGGCGGAGCCTTGAGACCTGTAGACAGAGCCATGAGTCACTCAAGGTCTTATTTCATGCCACATCGGATCATCTCCGGAATCAGCACTTTTCTTTTAACATTTCATTCGCTGTCAAAAAAAGAAAAACTCCCCCCACATTTCCATCTTACACTTTCTGAGCAAAACCTGCTCGTGTCCGCACTTTATTTAATGTGCTCTGCGTCTCAACTAATGATATGGAGAGAGCTAATAAAAGGTCTCTATCCCATCTGCTCTCAGCAGTTGAGGATGACAAATCTGGCAGGTTTTGGCCACATTACCTGTTACCACCTGACTGTCTATCCATACTTGTTGTGCGTAAAGACGTTGGGGGGTATCGAGTTTAGCTCTTTCTGAAGGTAACAAAATCCTCAAGTCTAATATATTTTTCAAACTCTCTTTCAATTTTCTGTGGTTTCCGCCGGTTGCTTAGCAACCTCCAGTAATCACAAGGCTTTGGAATAGGAGCAAAGTGCGACTCACAGAACTCTTAGAGGTGTGAGAGATTTTCTTACCTTTGGACAGAGGCTAGCTGTTTCCAGGCTTTGTGCTAAGCTACGTTAACCGCCTACTGGCTGCAGCTTTATATTTAGCGTGCCGGCACACGGGAGAGGTATCCATCTTCTCAACTAACCATGAACGTAGAACTATTTTATTTGGAGCTTTGATGGTTGCAATAAGTGTCTTGTCTATGGAGCAGTCACATCTTTAATCATTTAGAGAGCCAGACACATGTCCACGGGGCCTCAGATGCTGCAGAGCATCACCATCTGGCCACCAACTGGCTGCTCACACCACGGTGGAGGCTGTTCCAGCTGAATAAAGCGCAACACTTTCAGCAAAAACAGCACATTCAGGGAGATTTGTCATCATTTTACCACTTATATTTCATGATATGTCATTATAAGCATAGTTTGGACAAGATGGTGTCCACATTTCCCAGCAGGCTCAGATTTTAACTTACGAATAAAAAGGAAAAAGACAATACCTGTGAAAGTCCTCCATCAATGTATTTATGCACACGATGTAAGACGATATAATGAATGGAAACTTCAGAAAATGAAGGAGCTAAAGTTCTAGCAGGAAGACAATTACAATTATTAAATCTTTGCTGCCATGACATCACTGCCATAAGAGCACGTCTGCTGCCCTCTTGAGTGAGATATTTAAAATGACAGCAATTTACAGGTCCTCACCCTTTAAACTCACTTCATTGATGGGGTTAATCTTTGAAATATTAATCCCCACATCCATTTTCCTTCCCTGATTGAACAAACTCGGTGAACACGTTCCAAGTGGCAACTGCTGTAAAATGCATGACCATCTCCTCCTGACACGTGGATGATTATGTGAATTCAGAATAACGGCTCAAACACGGCGCTGCCACCTCGTTAGTGACTGTAAACCTAAGGCTTAATATAAAAAAATATATTCCAAAACGCTCAGAGCATTTTGGAATATATTTTAACACATAAACTCCAGGTGCAAGTATGATAATGTCCCGAGAAGATTAAAAGTAATTCCAGGTCCACTAAAAGAAATCCCATTGGTGTGTTTTGTAGAGAGAGCCAGGGTGATCTGATCGGTTCTCTCTTGGTTGTGAAAATACAAGTCGTCTGGATTGGATCACAATACATGTACCAATCAGTCAGACAGGGACTCGCTACAAAAGCTGAAAAAAAGGTAAAAGTGGGAATGTGATAATACATCCAGGCTCTACAGTTCTTGACCAAAGTTGTCAACTGAGTGGCTTTCGAGCCGGCATTGCCTTCCAAAAGGACACCCAGACATGCGTTTATAAACGGAACCGAAATGTATGAACATTAAAACTATTTAACCGGTCTTGCACTCCGCCAAGTGACTGACGCCTCATCCGTCCAACATGGCGGCCTGTGACTCACCGTGAGCTCAACGCGGCCGCTCCAACCGGGAATTCCTGAATATTACTGTGTGTGCTTGCACCTGATGCTCATTTGTCAAGGTCTGTTCCCTCAAAAAAAAATGCTCCGAGTGCTGTCAGTGCTGCTGAACTGTGCAATTAGGGCCTTTTCCCGGTTGGGAGCCTCGGGGGCTGCATTTACTAATGAGGTAGCGGTGGGTGGGTGTCTGCCGTTGGGCTGTGCGTGTAAGATTATGTAGATGTCTCGAGGGCCCCGGGGTGTAGCTGCACCGCTGGCCCCATCCGATGCTCACCTGGCGACTGCCGGCTGTTGACGGCAGATCCTGATATGCTGGCGGATCCCGGATCGCTTTCTGCTCGGTTTTTCACTTTGTTCAGTAACGCGGACGTCATACCTGCAGCAGGGTATTGATGCGACGCGCGGTTCATTGAAATGGAGGCGACTAGTGATTATGGGTGAGGTAATTACCGTACGGTTTGCATACAGGAACACTCAAGCTTGTGACGCCCTGATCATTTAAGTCATTTTACATACCTTTACATATGATGAATGTAAGCCAACGGAGCAAAGTGCTCCAAAGGTGGTTCATGGTTAAGGTTTGAAATTGACCATGAATGCTTCATTTTAGACATTGACCTATACAGGTTAACGTTAGTCGTTGACCTTGAATCATTAAGTTTAGTCATTGACTTTCATTAAAGTATGTGAATAAACCATAATTGCAGTGACATCATTTTTCATTCAGTAATGAGAACAGCGTCTCTGGACTTTGAAGGTCAGCGCGAGCCTTCGGTCACAGAAGCCACTCCAGCAAGATGAAACTTTGAAGGTCAGCCAAGCAAAGTAGCAGGATGATGTATAACGGACTGTATGTTTGCAGGTTGAAGCCACGGTCTTATTTCCTTTGCTTTTATCCCTTGCCTTTTAACCACGCCTCAATCTAATGTCTTCTTAGTTAGAAACACTGTGCTCCATCCCCACCCATTGACATTTAACTCAGACCAATGAGATTACCAGAGCCCCCGGACCAGCTGAGGCCACGGGAAATGTTTGTACAACTAAAACTTCAACATCATCTTGTGTGCGCCTGTGTGTGTGTGTGTGCGTGTCTGCGCTCATCATTTCCCAGCGACAAGAGGAAGGGTGACATTTCTGAAGGCACGTAAAACCTTGCCACTGTCTCACAGCACTGTCTGCTTGGATTACAGCAGCAGTGTGCGCGGTGTCGACGGGGAAAGTGTGTAAAAATACCCAGCTTCTGTCATATGCAATACACAAAGAAAATGAAAATAGACAACATGAATTCAGGGACGGGTGAGTACCAGCTTCTTCTAATATATATAAAATACAGCTAGAATACTCCACATGTTCAGGGTTGCGGCAGATTTTCTTTGTACTCAACTGCAATTTGAGCCTCTGAAGAGTCAAAATAAACCCATAACATGACTGAACACTGGTGCATTGCAAAGACATTAACTTCATGTCATTGTGTTTGTTCAATTAATATTTTTCAGATGTTGTAATTCATTGCTGCGTTAAGATTCACAATGGAAGTAATTCATATTTTTAGTACTTTATTCTGAAAACTACTATGTAAACCTGAAAATAAAGAATAACAATAATAAAACTATTTGGCCAATATCTTTGAAAATATCATGTCTTCATTCTTCTGTGTCCTAAAAAAACAAAACAACGTTTCTCTAACGACTTCATACAATATAATGCATCTGGTCATGCAGGTGGTTCTGGTTGACGTTTGTGCAACCAATGCAGCAATGCACATACGCCATTGTTTCAGTGTGATGGCACAACATCCCGGCGGAGCCATGCGAGAAGCCTCCACCCACCACCTTCAGGCTGAATGACACAAGACGGCATTGCGATGACTGGGTGGGCCGCTGAGGGTGCGGACGTGGATCGTCGATGCCCCGGCTCAT